ATTCTAGTGGAAGAGAAAACCAGTAAAGTACAAAGTCTGCATTCAGGTTAATTTTATGTCACCTTGACTAGGCTAAGAGATGCCTAGTTAGTTGGTGAAACATTATTTCTTAGTGTATCTGTGAGGATGTCTCTGGAAGAGATTGCATTTAAATCAGTAGACTGAGACCTGCCCTCACCAATGTGTTGGGCATCATCCAATCAGCTGAGGGCTTGAATAGAACAAAAGGGTGGAGGGAGGGCAAATTCCCTTCCGCTCTGTCTGAGCCATCCATTTTCTCCTGCCCTCGGACATCGGTGCTTCCGGTTCTTGGGCTTTTGGACTCAGATTGGAACCTACACCAGCAGTCCCCTGCTTCTCAGGGCTTTGACCTTGGACTGAATTACACCACCAGCTCTCCTGGTTCTCCTGCTCGCAGATGGAAAATCGTGAGACTTCCTGGCCTCCATAACTGTGGGAGCCAAATCCTATCACAGGTCTCCTCTTACATGTATCTAGATATGTCCTATCCATTCTCTCTCTGGGGAACACTGACTAAAACAGGTGGCAGCACTTGGTTATATGAAGAAAAATGAAGCAGGATAAGGGGATGGAGACAAGTGGTATCACACTTCTGCCACACAAGGAGCCAGGACATGGCCTTCTACTTAAAACCTGGCTCCATCTCTAGGAAGCTGTGTGTCTTCAGAGTAGTCACTTGACCTCTCTGAGCTATGAAAACTGTCTCTAGCTGATATTCGGGTCCATTTGTGGACTCACAGGTTCCAAGCCCTAAGAAGACCTTGTTGGCCAAATTTGCTTTTTTGTGGCCTGAACCTTTGGATTCATTGGCTTCCAGGGTGGTCCCTGAAACTCCCCTGGCAGAACGTGGGCATTCCAGAAGCTTCTGTAAATGGGGTGCTGTTTATTGTGTTGCCACTTTCCTGCATCTTTGTTTGCTGTACTAGGAGTACCTGGGCTGGGTCTGCCCCTTTGTTTGCCTCTGTGGAACCCTGGAACGATGCCTTTTGGCTCCAAGCACCCATTGAGACAAAGAGGTCCTTTTCTATAACAGATGCAGCGCAGGATCTCAGCTGCCTGGGAAACCCCAGTTTGGGGTTCTAGAAACATGCCTGACACCTATCTGTTGCCTCTCTGGTCTCAGTGTTCATATCCGTAAAGCAGGGGGCTTGGCGATGGTCTGACTGTCCTCCATTGAATTCCTGGATCAGGGAGGTATTAGGTTTGCCAGGGTAGGTGGGAGGGAGGGAGTGAACAGGGGGCCCAGTAGGGAGCTCCTCATCCCACTTCTCCCGGAAAAACTCCTTTTAACTAAATTTTACTCTCAAGGTTTGTCTGTTTTATATTGTGATTCAATATACAATTTTGCTTGGACAAAGGGCTGGAAGTTATAAATACTTATAAATCTGTGATTATCTAAGATCTCTCATCCCTGATATGTAGGAATCTGCCTGGTATAGGAACCAAAAAGATGTTAGGAAATCAAAACTTAGGCAATTTTTAGTCGTGGTATTTGATTCCATATTATCGCTTTTGCTTTCGATCTTTAAAATGTGTGTCCAATAGTCTGACCTCTTAAAATATTTGTTTCAAGCAGTGTTGATTTGTTTTACAATTATTCTTCCCTGACCCCAACAACTCAAAACTGTGAGAACTAATAAATGAATTCAGCAAAGTAGCAGGATACAAAGTCAACACACAAAAATCAGTTGCATTTCTATACAATCTAAAAAGGAAATTAAGAAAATAATTCATTTACAATAGCATCAAAAAGGATAAGATACTTAGGAATTAACCAAGGAGGTGAAAGACATGTACAATGAAAACTACAAAACATGGCTGAAAGAAATGAAAGACATAAATACAGATCTTCCTCAACTTGCAATGGGGTTACATCCCAATAAGCACATTGTAAATTAAAAATATCATAAGTCAAAAATGCATTTGATACACCTAACCTACTCAACATCATAGTTTAGCCTAGCCTACCTTAAATGTGCTCACTTACATTAGCCTACAGTTGGGCAAAAATCATCTAACACAAAGCCTATTTTATAATAAAGTGTTGAATATCTCATGTAATTTATTGAATGCTGTACTGAAAGTGAAGAGCGGAATGGTTGCCTGGGTCCAGAATGCTTGTAAGTATATCGGTTGTTTACCCTCATGATGGTGTGGTTGGCTGGGAGCTGAGGCTCGCTGCCACTGCCCAGCATCAGGAGAGAGGATCAGACTGCATATTGCTAGCCTGGAAAAAGATCAAACTTCAAAATTCTGCTGAATGCATATCACTTTTGCACCATCATAAAGTTTAAAAAATCGTTAAGTTGAACCATCAGAAATAGGGGACTGACTGTAAGTGGAAACACATCTTGTGTTCATGGGTTGGAAAACTTAATATTGTTAAGATATCAATACTACCCAAAGTGATCTAAAGAGTCAGTGCAATCCCTATCAAAACCCCAGTGATTTTTTGTGTGGAAATAGAAAACCCATCCTACAATTCATGTGGAATCTCAAGGGACCCCAAATAGCCAAAACAATCTTGAAAAAGAACAAAGCTGGAGGACTCAGAAGTTTTCCTGATTTCAAAACTTACTACAAAGCTGCAGTAATCAGAACAGTGTGGTACTGGCAAAAAGACAGATATAAACCATGGAACAGAATAGAAAGCCCAGAAATAAACCCTCACGTGTATGGTCAAATGATTTTTGGAGAGGGTCCCAAGACCATTCAATGGGGAAAGGACAATCTTTTCACCAAATTGTGCTGGGAAAACTGGATATTCATGTGCAAAAGAATGAAGTTAGACCTTTATCTAACATCACATACAAAAATGAACTCAAAATGTGCTCATGATCTAAACATAAGACCTAAAACTATAAAAATCTAAGAAGAAAACATAAGACAAAAACTTCAGGACATTGGATTTGGCAATGATTTCTTGGATATGACACCAAAGGCACAGGCAACAAAAGAAAAAATAGACAAATGGGAAAAGAGGATTTGTTTTACAAAAATTCTCTCTGCAAGAGACTTTTTGTAGGTCTGTAAATTGCATGAGAGAATGTAAACACTGGTACAAAAGCTAAGGCACTTGGGAAATGGAAATTCTCCTATGTTGGGCGTGTTAAGCAGAGTCTCAGGATGTGTTTTCAAGGTTTGGAAATGGATGTAGGTGTGTCTTACAGTCTTCCCTCTCTCAGTAAGGGAAAACCTCATTCTTCCATTGAGGCCAACAACTAGAATTACCCTGGGCTTCTCTCTTTGCCTTACACATCATAACAGATCCTTGGCAAAGCTATCTTAGAAATAGATCCAGAATTTGATGACTTGTTACCTCCACTGCTCCCATCAGACCCTAGCTGCCAGTATCTGTTGCTTGGATTATTGCCAAAGCCATCTCATTGGTCTCCCTGGACCATTGGACCTTGCCCCTTTAGATGGATTAACTAATTGTAGTGTCTGCACATAGTTTGATGCCTGTCCTGTGTAGCTGAGAATATGTTCTATTAGGATGGTGCTTGTTAGGATGGAATTCAGTTCAGTGTGCTGTGGACACTGAATAAAGTCAACAAAACCTACTATGTAAGAAGTAAGGAGAATAAATGGCATCAGACAGCACCAAATCCAAGAAATAGTCTGTACACACAAGATCATTGCCTTGAGAGAATATAAGAAAGCAAGGTCAGGGCAGTAGGCAGTTTTATTTAAATAGTGACTATGGGAATAATAAGACACTATTTGTTATGGACCCTGAGGGACACTGATGTATCAGAAGATGTTACCATTACTGCGCTCTTGTTTCATCAGCAGGTGAATAGTTTCACAAGTTTTGACAAATGTACAAACCCATGCAACCACCACCCCAATCGAGGTCTAGAACATTTCTGTCACCCCAGTAGTTTCCTTTGTGCTTCTTTGCAGCTCCCCCCGCCCCCGCAAAACACAAACATCCTAACCCCAGCCTTGGCAACCACAGATCCGTTTTGTTTTGAACCTTTGAAATTGCATTGTCAACCTGAAGGCATAGATTCTAGCATTCAGCTGGTAACACCTGTGGGGTACTTGGTTAAGAGAGTTGGCTCTGGAGGTAGATTGTCTTGTTTGCACAACCATTGCCTTGCTACTGACCTCCTGGAATCTCAGTTTCCCAATCCACAAAATGGTCATAATAATTATACGTACTTCACTGGGATTTTGTGATGAATAAACAATAGCTGGTACCTACTAGCCCAATAAATATCAGTAATTATTATTACTATTTATAGAGTGGGTACCCAGTGTTGGACGTTGTGCTAAATGCCATGTATGGATGCGGCCGTTGCTACTGGTGCTCTGTCCACGTCCCTGTTGGCGGTTACCATTCTGCACATGCCAATAGCTTCTTGCAGAGCCCTGGATGCTCTGCATGAACTTGTTAATTTGGCTGCTGCACAGGGCAGGTCGAAGTGCTGGGGAGTTAACTCTCCCATGAGCAGCCCTCAACCAGTGATGACCAAGAGCTGGCAGATAAATAGCAGCTTCCTTGCCTCCCAGGGGGACTACTCTGAGGCATGATCTCCACTGTCTTCCAGGGTCCCCATCAAGATTGAGCCCCAGCTGCCCTCCGTAGTAACCTTCTTGTTAATACACTGTCTTGGCGTCCTTCTCTGTTTCACTTCCTCACTGCCCTTCCAGAACTTTCTGAGATTCCCTGTCGAGCAAACTACTTTTCCCTCTCATGCTCATCTCAGGGTCTACTTCTAAGACAATGGGGTATTTCATTTTATCGTCAAACAATCCTATAAAATGGACAGATATAGCTTCCCCATTTTATAGTTGAGCAAAATGAGGCTCAGATAGGTGACACCACCGGCTCAAAGTCTGAGCCTTGGGCACTTACCCTCTCCACTGCCTCCCCGAGGAATGGGCCCTGATGGGCCCTGCTCCAGGACCTCTTCTCCCTCTGCCACCCAAAGCTCTGCTGACCCTCCTGAGCCTGCATCTCCCCCCTGCAGGAAGGTCGCTGCCTGTTCGTCATCCTGCTCATGGCGGTGTACTGGTGCATAGAGGCCCTGCCCCTCTCGGTGACGGCCTTGCTGCCCATCATCCTCTTCCCCTTCTTGGGCATCCTGCCCTCCAACAAGGTCTGCGCCCAGTACTTCCTGGACACCAACTTCCTCTTCCTCAGCGGTCTGATCATGGCCAGCGCCATCGAGGAGTGGAACCTGCACCGGAGAATTGCCCTCAAGGTCCTGATGCTCACTGGGGTCCAGCCGGCCAGGTAAGGCCAGGTAATGGGTACATCCCAGAGGTGGCGAGGCAGAGGGACCACATCTCTTGGAGCCTAAACCCACTCTTCCTGCTCTGGTCATCCAGGGCAACAAACTCATCATGTCCCACCATCCACTTGTTTATTCATTTCTCAAATATTTAGTGAGCCGCTCTGTGTGCCAGACACAGTGCTAGGCCCTTGGGCAGTTCTCGAAAGTATGTAAGAATCACATGGGAATCAGTTGAAATGCTGATTCCCAGACCTCACCCCCAGGGATTCCTGTCCAGTAGTTTTAGAGGGGGCCATATTAGCAGTTTGACTCAGACTACTTGGGGCTGAATCCCACCTTTCCTGCTCTGGGAGGTGACTTAGGCTCTCTTTGCCTGTAAAATGATGATACAGTAGCTTGGACCTGCACAGTAAATGCTGGCTGTTATCGTCCTGGTTTTCTGTTTACCAGCCAAGGTGACATGGTGGGTGGGGAGTGGATGGAAAGATGGCCTTGGAGAGGCAGGGAGGTAGGGTCCATTCCTAAGGGCCTTGGGCCGCCTAGCTAGGATTCCAACTTTTATTTCAAGATGATTGAATGGCCTTTAAAATAAGGTCATTGTTGTTCTTTTAATCTTTTTTTTTTTTTGCAATTTGTTGAATCTTAAGGATTCCTTCCCAGTAATGTTTTTAAATTCATAAAGCACAACACATAGGATTTAAAACAACAACCACAACAATTACAGCAAAATGCACTTATCCAAACAATTTTTTAAAACCACACAAATTTGTAAGAATACTGTATGTACTTCTTTATTAATACAATAAATGATGAGATCTAGCAACAGCCTCATAACTGTAGTTTTGAGGCAGTTCTGAGTGTCAGTGATATTCCAAGATGTCTCAACTATTATAATGTGATATAGAAGTGTCTGTGATCTTTACTGATAACCAACTCCCCTTCTAACAGAGAAAAAAATTTTTTAATTAATTAATTTATTTATTTATTTTTGGCTGCATTGGGTCTTCGTCGCTGCACGCGGGCTTTCTCTAGTTGTGGTGAGCGGGGGCTACTCTTCATTGTGGTGTGCGGGCTTCTCACTGTGGTGGCTTCTCTTGTTGTGGAGCACAGGCTCTAGGCGCGCGGGCTTCAGTAGTTGTGGCATGCGGGCTCAGTAGTTGTGGCTCATGGGCTCTAGAGTACAGACTCAGTAGTTGTGGCTCACGGGCTTAGTTGCTCCCCAACATGTGGGATCTTCCTGGACCAGGGCTCGAACCCGTGTCCCCTGCATTGGCAGGTGGATTCTTAACCACTGCACCACCAGGGAAGTCCTCCCCTTCTAATAATACTGAACTTTTTTGCCTATGTTTATCACTGAAGGAAATATTTAATTTCTATTAGATGTTAGTAAAATAGAGGTATATTTTCCCCTATCATGTCCATTCTGAATTATATCTATGGCCCCCCTGGTTATCAATCTCTGCTTTAAAGAATTCTAAGCTGGGGAGTGACATGACCAGATTTGCATTTTTTAAAAAATTCCTCTTGGCTGCCATGAGGGGATCAGATGAAGGTGAGAAGCCAGATGCAGCCCAGGTAAGAGACTGTTCTGGGGATCCAGACGAGAGATGGTGCCACCTTGGACTAGGGTGGTGGCAGTGGAGATGGGCTGAATGGATAGGTTTGAGAGCTCTTTTTTGTGGTGGGGATGGGGGTGGCGATGAGGGAGAAGGAGGTTCTGAATAACTCATGGTTTTCTAGCGTCTGCTCTGGGCCAGGCATTCTGCTAGGCTCTGTAGCTGTTTCCTCATGGAGGAACTGTCCGTCCTATGGGAGAGATTCCATCTATAGAACTGATCCCAACACAGAGCAGAATTTAATACCTAAGGGACACATGGTGCAATATGAGCCCACATGAGAGATATTGGGTGACTTCTTGGAGGAGGTTACATTTGGCCTTGAAGAATGGATGAGGCTGCTGTCAAACATGTTTTAAAGTTACAAAAATGAAAACGGTATGACACTAGCTCAGAAATAGATTTTTAAAACACAGAATAAATAATCTGGAAGAAACTGAAATCCGTGGGAAAGGGAAGGATTCAAGAAGTGGTGGGTGTTGGAATAATTTGTGTATTCTTTAGGAAAAAATTCTACTTAGATCCGACTTTGTTCTATACAACTAAATTAATTCCAGGTGGATTAAGAGTTCAATGTAAAGAAAAGCAAATCACTAAACTTAGATTCCTGTTGGTGGGAGGGACCAAGCAATGGCAGGCAGGCAGGACATCAAGGCGTGTTTGGGAGCTGGCGAGAAACTCAGCAGAGCCTGAGCAGGGGTGCCTGGGAGGAGTGGGAAGGGAAGGGGGAGAGAGGAGGCTGGGAAGGCCACTTAGGGTGAAACAGTGGAGAGTCTTGGTGCCAAACCAAGACACCTTTATTCTGCAATGGGAGCTATCCAGGATTTGTGGGCAAAGGAAAGAAAATGTCAGGGTTGGTGTGTCTTTAGAACTAATTTACCTTGGGCACCTGAGGTCAGTTCACTTACATACACTGAGTCAGTTTCCTTAGATCTAGAATAAGCGTGGTGAATGGATTTGGTTCCCACTTGGTCACTAGCTTGTCCTCTCTGGGCCTTAACTTTCCATGTGTAAACAGGTGGGATACAAACCAGAGGCCCCAGTTCTAGATCGGCCTCTAACTCCCTCTGTTCCCAGGCTCATCCTAGGGATGATGGTGACCACCTCCTTTCTGTCCATGTGGCTGAGCAACACGGCCTCCACTGCCATGATGCTGCCCATCGCCAGCGCCATCCTGAAGAGTCTCTTTGGCCAGGAGGTTCATAAAGACCTCAGCTGGGAGAGTGAAGAGAAAGCAGGTGAGTCTGTGGGAAGGGACTGGGAGGAACTCCACCAAGGTGGAAGAGTGGGAGTGGGGACATCCAGAGGGTGTTGGGGAAGGCCAAGGGAATGCACTTATTGAGCACCTACTATGTGCCAAGTTTAATAATAGTAACTGAGAATTCACTAAGTCAAACCATGGTACCTTTTTTAAAAATTTGCATTTATTGAGCATTTACTGTGTACTAAGCAATGAGTTAAACACTTTACATACATTAACTCCTTGGCGTCTCAAAACAGCCTCATGAAGTAGGTACTATGCAACTTGAAACAATGATGAGATTTATTTCAATGAGATTGGCAAAAATAAGAAAGCTGGATAGTGCCCAGTGTTGGCAGGAATGGGAGCCATTGGAACTCTGTGCGCTGCTAGACAGTGTGGACAGTCAGCCTTTCTTAAGGGCATTCTACAAATATTTGATCAAACTAAGAGTGCGTATACCCTGGAACCCAGAAGTTTGGCCCTGAATGCAAGTGCTAAAGGCATTCTGACACGGGTTCATGAGGAGACACATGTGACCATGTTTAGTGCAGCATTCCCTGTGGTATGCTGGTTAGGGTTCAGGTTCGGGTTAGGTTTAGGGTTGTGGTATGGCCACCATCGCCAGTAAAGGAGGAGATTGAGTGTGGTGGGTGCATCACCGAGCACTATGCTGCTTTTAGGAACAAAGAATTAGAGGGACATATAGTTATAGAAATAAATCTCATAAAACTTAGTTGTGATTGGAAAAGCCAGAAGGAGATATAGAACACAATATCGTTACGTAAATTAAAAATACTCACAAAAGACAAAACGTTTGCAAGAACATAAACAAAGGAAAAGCTATACATTAAACGCATCCCAGTGGTTGCTCTGGGAAGGATGGGATTGGGAAATGGGGGTAAAAGGGACCAAATTCATAAATAAAACAAAAAGAGTGGCCTTGTGCAACAGGTAGTGAGAATGTGCCGTGAAATGAGGGATTGGATTCACTGAAATCTCTGAAACTGTGTTCTAAAGAAAACAAAACACAAGTAGCTGCCATGTTTTTAAGTGACTAAATGAGAGCTCAGAGAGGGGAACTGACTTCTCCAAGTCACACAACGAGCAAATGGTAGAGCCCAACTTTGCACCCAGGCAGTCTGGCTGCAGAGCCCACCCTCTTCCGCGTGAAATCGGCTGCATCAGTGAGAATTCTTTTGGCTGCAGGTAAAAGGATGCCTGTCTGCCAGTGACTTAAAGAACAAGGGTTATTTTCCTCAAATGTCAAAAAGTCAGAGAAGGGCAGTTCCAGGGTCATTTCAGAGGCACAAGGATGTCAGGGCTGTTCACTGGTATCTCTGTGATTCCCTTGGTCTTTCCCTCGTGGTTGCAAAATGGCTGCCGCATCCTGAGTCTTGGGGCTCCAAGAGAATACCTCATAGTCACCTTGGGGTGGCAGCAAGCAGTTAACTCTGCTTTCTCATTTCAACCCAGCTGCCCCCACTTTACCTACTTTATACTCTGAGCTTCCAAGTAACAATCACCGATGTTTACTGAGTACTTACTTTTATGCAAGGTCTCATCTAAGGGCCTTACATCTGAATGACGTGGAGCTAGCTTTGACCTCATTTAGAGCAATGGGAATGGAGGAAGAAATTTAAAAAGTGGTTAAAGTAGTCCCCAAGGTCACATAATTCCAAAACAGCAGCTCTGGTATTTTGAATCCAGGTGGGTTGACTTTAGCGCCTGTACTCTTAACCTCTGTTGTTCTGCCTCCCATAGAAGATGTTTTTTCTAAGAGTTTAGTGACAAAAAAAAAAAAAGAAAAAAAGGTATGAAAGCCAGTTCCCTCATTATATGAAAGAAGATGAAAAACCTGAGACTCGAGAAGGGGAAGGGACTTGCCCAAGGTCACACACAGCGTCATGCGAAATCCAGAGTCTTTCCCCTTATGCTGCAGGATGTCAGGAGGCAGGAGACCCTGAGAGGCTGGGGCAGACCTCTGCTTTCATAGGCGGCAGGATCAGAGATCGGGGATTAGTTAATGATCAGCCCCAAGACCTAAAATGGGTAATTCCAGTGCAAAGAGAGATGTTCTCTTTCATCCAGTTTCTGTGCTCTGTCCTGGTGGCAGGAGGTAAGGACAGGAGTGGAGGGAGTGGAGACTCTGTTTATGGGCCAGGATAGGGGCGAGGAGGCTCCTGGAGGCTTTCCTGGAGGCTTTAAGTCCCTGAGGGACACCCAGAGCAGCAACTATAAGGATGATGTGAGCTACCATTTCCTGAAGACCCACCCTATGCCAGACACTGTGCTAAATTTTTCATACCCATTAGCTGATTTAATCTTCATAACAGTACTATGAAGTAGATGACACCCATATTACAGACGAAGAGACTGAGGGTCAGAGAGGCAAAATGCTTTGCCCAAAGCAACATGGTGAGTTAGTTGCTGAGCTTTCTCTGAATCTGGAATCTGTGCTTACAAGCCAGAACAAGATAGAGCCTGGGGCAGGACGGGGCTCGCTGGACAACACCCTAGGGATCCTCAGCCTTGGAGGGCAGCCCTGCTGCTTCTCTTCAGTTCTTTTACACACTCTGCTCCTTGTACTGCCTGGGGGACCAGGGCCACATGGGTGGTGGCTTCTCCTTCTACATGCATGTTCTCATTCGATCCTCTACTTCAGCCCTTCAGGGGTGGCCCTGTCATCATGCCTGTTTTACAGAGGAGGAAACTGATGCACGGAGTGGTGAAGTATTTGCCCAAAGTCCCTCAGCCAGTAAGGGGCCCATTTGGCTTTTGAATCTAAACTCTTCCACTCTCCCCCCTCCTTTTTTCTGCCCAGAGAAGGCTAGGCTGCCACCCATGCCTTTCCTTTAAGAATGCCCAAGACACTCTCATTCCAGAAGCAGTCTGTCAGCTGAGTTAAGCATTGTCCTCCTCTTCCCTCTTCATTCATGAGGCTGCGAGAGGGGGCCTCTTCCTGAGGCTCTTCTCTCATCTATAAAATGAGGACAAAACCACCCATTTCGTACATATCGTTGTCAGGCTTACATGAGAAATGAGAGCCTGGCACATAGACATGGTTAATACGTGGCAGTGATACTATTGCTATTATATAAAAACCAGTATAAGAGTTCCAGGAATTGGAAAGAGTGGGTAATAAGACCCTACACCTTGATTCAGGTTGAAGTTTCCTATGACTGCTAGTTGAGAAGGATTTATTACCCGTCTCCTCCGTGGACTCCAAGTTCCGTGGGAGCTTGTGTCAATCTTTCTCATTGCTGTGAACTATAGCATTGTTCACCTAGAACACTGTTTGGCACGTAGTGGATAATCAATAAGTGTGTGAAATAAATAAATAAGTAAACAAACCAGTTACTGAACTGCTCTACGCCTGTTTCCTCATATATAAAATGGGGACATTAATCCTTACCGCCCAGGCGGCTGTGGGAACTAAGTAAATGAATGGATGTAAAACTGCCTATCCTGGGGACCTTTGACTTCCCCTGGGGTGCTATTTACCTAATCTGATACAAGAACTCTTTCCTGAGAGCCTTCTGTGTGCCAAACTTCAAGAACATTTCAGTCATACCAGGGAGGTTCAATTAGAGTCAGCTGTTCCAGGTCAGAGCCAGGTGGGTGCCTTTGGAGGTGGGGTGAGATTCAAGGGGTGGGGAATCAGTAGTCCTGGGAACAAGCCGACTCTGCCATTTACCCAGTGAGTCATCTTTATCCCACGCTTCCCCCGTGTCTCCGGGCCTCAGTTTCCCGAGGTGTAAAGAGGAAGGTAATAACCCCTGCCCAGTTCTGAGGCTGCTGTAAGATTACAAATGTGAAAGTTCTCAGCTCCCCCACCCGATATAAACTCAGGGATTGTTATTATTTGAATAAGATCTTACGTAAACACCGAGCTCCTAACCAGCCTGCGATTTCTGGACCCAGGGAAGTCAGAACCTTTGGAGACTTTGGCCTGTTTTCGTGTGGTCACTTGGGTCACCGTGGTCACAGGAAGTACAGGGATGACCCGGGATAAATGGTTAAGAGTAGCTGAGCTGCTAGGGGCTGAGTAGCACCTTGGTTTTCCAAGTTTTTTTCAACTTCATCTTCATTGGTTTTATCATCATCGTTAGAAAAAAATAATGCTTGGTATCAAATTTTTTCACATTACTAATTTGCATAAAGAAAAAGTGAAACTCCCTCCTTCCTAATTTTAATTGCTACAGATAATTACTGTTCATAGCCGTGTGTGTATGTATAGCTTCCTCTGCCTCGTCTATAGCACGTACAGTTTTGTATCAGGGCTCTCCAACTCCGATGCTGGCAGCAGCCAGCTTGCACGGCTGAGAAAAGCGGCCAGGTGAGGACTGTGGCAAACTGGGGAGCACTCACCCCCTCTAAGGTCGTGGGCGGCCACTGGAGGCTTCAGTTCCCCATCTCTAACTTCAGGGGAGCCTTCTCAACCCTGCCTGCCCAAAAGAATGACCTACAGAGCTTTTAAAAGTACTGAGTCCCCAGAGCCTCTAAACCAGAACCTCCAGGGTGGGACCTGGGCATTCTCAGCAAATTCTAATGTTCATCCAGGGCTGAGGAAGGTGGCCTATTGTTATACCCGAGATGCTGGTGAGCTCTGCAGACATCTGATGCTGCGTGACAGCCATTCCCAACCCGGGTGAGAAGGGTACAGAGAGAGCTAGAGATGGGTGGGGGGTAGGGAGTCACTGGGTCAGGGTTCTTCCTGTCTGGCCATCCCCTGGGGAGTGACTTTGCCCACCAGCATCAGTGTCCTATTAACAGCCCTTCACTTCCTGCTTCAGTGCCCCGGCCTCCGGCCCCGTGTGTTGCATGTGGACGTGTGTTCCCATCACGGGAGCCCTGAAGCCCTTGTCCCCACGGCCCAGGGTGAGCTGATGTGAATTTAGCCTTCAGACCACTGCTGGTGGTCAGCAGGGCCAGCCTCAGGCACAGTAAAAATGACCCAGTCAGCCACCATGGAATGCTGCTCCCTCGTGGTACCAGCAGGAAAAGAACAGCCCAGAGTGGAGAAGGGAAGGGACTTCCCCAAGCCCCCTGGTGAGACAGGGAAAGAACTGAGGCTGGAGTCTAGACCCTTCCACCCAGTCCACGTGGCCAAAGCCCCCCAGGAATACATCTGTAGTTAAACAGGTTGAGTTTGTTATCGTTGCTGCAGTGAGGGAGTACACACACCACGGGCAACTACAGTCAACTCAGAGGGTGCTAGAAAGCACCTCTCATAGGATTTGGGCTTTGGCTGGGTCATTTTGGGTGGGGATGGGGGCTAAGAAAGTAGGGTTTGCTCTAGATTGGGTGCTGTCAGAGACTGGGGACGATTCTGTGATTAGGCAAGAAGTAACCACTTATTTAGCAAGAGAAGTGGAAGCTTGATATTTTGTGGGTGGCAAGTGGCTTTGCACTTAAACGAGATTATGAGGTGTCCTTGCTCTGGCTCATTTTATCAGTCTCAGAGTGACTTTGTCTGAAGTCGGTGATGTGTGAGATTGTTTAGGTCCAACAAGAGAATGATGTGTCTGTCGTATCTGGGTCAGACCAGTTCCAGACTTCAGGGGCCACTCTTTTATTCTTTCTTGGTAGTAACCCACATTTTCTAAATCCCCACTAGTGCTCAGATTCCTGTTAAATTTTTAAAATCAGGGGCTGGCAAACTTGGGCCCACCAAATCTAGACTGCTGCCTGTTTTTCATGCAGCCTGCGAGCTAAGCATAGTTTTTATGTTTTTAAATGGTTGGATAAATCAAAAGAAGAAGAAGATTTTGTGACATGTGAAGATTATATGAAATTCAGTTTCAGTATCCAAAAATAAATGTTTAGTCACACTAGTCATTTCTGTATTGTCTACGGCTGCTTTCATGATATCATGGCAGATTTGAGTGGTTACAACAGAGATCATATGGCTTTTCATATTTACTACTGGCCTTTTACAGAATAAGTTTGCTAATCCCTGCTTTAAATGACGTTTTAGTTGTTCAGGTTGCTATGACAAAAATACCAGAGACTGGGTATTTATTTCTCCCAGTTTTGGAGGCTGCAAAGTACAAGATCAAGGCGTCAGCAGATCCGGTGTCTGTTGAGGGCCTTTTTCTGGTTTGTAGACAGCCATCTTCTCACTGTGTCCTCACATGGTGGAAAAGGCAAGGGAGCTCTGTGGGGTCTCTTTTATAAGGGCACTAATCCCATTCATGAGGGCTCCTCCCTTATGACCTAATCACCTCCCCAAAACTCCACCTGTTAATACCATCACATTAGGGATTAGGTTTCAACATATGAATTTTGGGGGTGATGAAAACATTCTGTCTATAGCAAATAAGTCAACTCTTTAATCCTCTTGATAACCCTAGGGGAATTATTACTTCCATTTTATGAATTAAAGATGTTCAAGGAGATCAAGGGATTTATCTAAGCCAGAGTTTCTTAACTTTGGCACTATTTGACATTTTAGGTAGGATAATTCTTTCTTGTGGGGGCTGACTTACGTCCTATAAGATGTTTAGCAGCATCCCTGACCTCTGACCAGTAGCACCCCAACTCCCCCCGTCCCAGTTGCAACAACCAGAAATGTCTCCAGACATTGTCCAATATCCCCTGGAGGCAGAATCGACCCCAGGTGGGAACCACACTGATCTAAGGTCGCAAAGCAAGTGATGGAGCTAGGACTTGAACCCTGAACCCATGTGTTCAGCTACCAGTCACACTTCCAATGCCCTGGGATGGATTCTTTTGCTCTTGGTGATGGTTTCAGCTGCCGAAACTTTTAATCCCTTCAGTTGTCTCCACGACACTCCAAGGCTCCTGCGGGGAGACTGGCCTATCAAGCAAGGGCTTCTTTAAAAATGAAGTCAGATCCTGTCCTGACTCTCCTCTGCTCAAACACTCCCCTGGCTCCACTCCCATCTGGCTCAGAGGAGAAGCTAAAGTCCTTACTGTGAGCCCCAAGACCTCTGTGTGATCCACACCACTTCCTGCCGCCTCACTCCTGCCACTTCTCCCACCTCTCCTCCTCCTTCATGCCCCTCCAGCCCCACTGATCTCCTTCCTGCTTCCCAACACACCAGACACACTCTCACTTCAGGGCCTTTGCACTTGCTGTTCCTGTTGCCCCCACCCCTCTTCCCACAAGTCTTCAGATGATTGGCTCCTTTTTATCCTTGAGGTGTCAGCTCAAGTGCCATCAGCTCATATGTCTGCTCTGTTGACCTGATCATAATAGTCCCCCTGCTCCTCCTCCCCACACTGCAGTCACTTTCCATCACGTTGCCCAGTTTCATTTCCTCTGTCACTTTCATCACAACTGGAAGTTTTCTTTATTTGGTTATTGTCTGTCTCCCTTTCTAGAATATAACTTTCATGGGAGCAAGGACACTGTCCTATATTATTCACTGTGTTCCCCAAGCTCATAGTCAATAGTACACAGCAGGTGCTCAATAAATGCTTTTTGAATGTATGGCAGACTGGGGTCACCCATCCCATTGCTGACCCATTACCACTCAGAGCTAGTCTTTCCCAAACATCCCTTTGACAATGACAGCTCAGGTTAGCCTAGGCTTGAGTTATGGGTTGTCAAGCAGCCTTGCAGTGAACTCCCTGCCCACGGGCCTGAAGCCCTCTCCAAAAAGGGATGGATGGAATTTTGAGTATCTTTTTTTGGGGGATCCAATGACTAGCATAGGTCAGGACCTGAGGAAGCACTCTGATTGACTGCACAAGAATGGGACACTCCTGTCCCATTTACTACATCACACTAAAGACGTCGTGTTCTTTCCTCCTAGCTGCTGTGCGGAAAAACGGCCTGCATGCTGTGCCCACGGAGATGCAGTTTATTGCCGGCACAGAAGAGTGAGTCCCTGGTGGAATTCACAGAGGAGCCAGTGCTTGATCCAAGGAGATGATGAACAGGAATTCAATGCTCCAAGCAATCCTCCGCCTACCCCCCAGTTTTTCTCCAGATGACCTAATGCCCAAGTTTCCACCATTTATAGCTTTGGCTCCAGGCTCCTTGAAAAAAGCAAGTGTAGGAAGGGCAGGGGAACACATTAAATCCCTAAAGGTCTGCTGAGGTGCAGGGTCTAGAAGGAGGGACCAGAAGAACAGGAGGCACAAGCCACACGACAGTCGTGGAGGAGAGGGTGTACCAGGCCAAGCGGCTCCAAAGACAAAAATATCCTGAGACACCCTTCGCACTTGTGTGACTTGAGAAGTATCTTGACACTGACAGCACATTTAGTCTTTGGTGTCTTTTGTATATGGCAGTGTGGAGAAGATCTGGGTGCTTAGAACCATGCAGACCTGGCTTTGAAGCCTGGCTTTGCTGCTTACCGGCTCTGTGATTTGGACAAGTCACTTAACCTCTCTGAACCTCAGTTAGTTTCACTTACCAACTGGACATGATATCAGAACCCACCTTATAGGGCTGTTTTGATATTAAATGAGAACATGTAGCTAAAGCAGGTTTCTGGGCCTTCCATGCACGGATGGTAATGCTTGTTATTAATGGCATTGTTATCTCGATTTAATGGTGATGAAACAAACAGCAGGAAGTAAAGTGACTTGCTCAAGGCATTGCTGGGCATCGGTCAGGTCTGTTTCGTTCATTCAACAAGTATTTATAGAGAGCTTACGATGAGCCAGGTACTGTCAGGGATACAGCAACAAACAGAAAAGAACCCTGCCCTTGCGGAGAAACAAATACACAGTAAAATCCATAGTGTGTCAGAAGGTTGGCGAGTGCTATGCAGGAGAACAAAGCAGGAAAGCAGGCTAGGGATGGGGTTGGGGTAAAGGGCAGTTTTTAAATGTGTGGTCAGGGAAGGCCTCACTAAGGAAGTCATTCTTGAGCAAACGGCTGTGGGAGGTGAAGGATCTGTGGGAACAGGGTTCTCAGCAGAAGGACCAGCAGGTGCAAAAGTCCTGAGAGTTCAAAGCAGCCAGGAAGCCAGTGTGGCTGGACCTGGGGGTCAGAGAGATTGCTTGTGTGGCAGGAAGATAATGGTAGAGGGACAGAGCATGTGGGACCTCATCGGCCATTGAGGTAGCTTTGAGTTTGAATGAGATGGGAGCTGGTGGAGGGTTCTAGCAGAGGAGGGACCTGATTTTACCTGAGTTTATCTTATCCCATGGCCTGCGCTCCTTCCTGGCACCTTGTTTGGGGGCTTTGAGTCCAGCTTTGAGATATGGGTTCTATAGTTGGCCCAGCTACTCACTACCATGCAACCTGGGAACCACCTGCCCATGCAGAGCTTGTGCTGAGTCTTTTGGAAAAGAGCTGATCCCCACTCTCTGGAACTCCATGTCCACTGGATGCAGTCCCCAGCCCCACTCCGGGCCTCCGTTTCCCATCCAAACGAGGGAGGGAGTGAACGAGATGAGCGTGAGGGCCCTTCCCCTCTCTCATTCTCCTGTGAGGCTCAGTCTGGTTGGGGCCCCAGGTCTGAGGGAGGCCACAGATTCCTGACCAGGCCTCTCACCCTGAAAAGTCAGGCCAAGGCATCTGTCTCCAGCTGCTTCCAGCCGTTGTCTTCCTTTCAGACCCAGATCACATCCCCACTGCCCTCTGGAGAAGGGGCCCCTCATGTTAGTAATTAAGGCCTGAAGATATTTGAACTTTCATTCTTTAAAAGAAATTGATTTGTTACGCAGGGACAATTCTTAGTTTTATTCGCTTATAAACATTTTATAATTGCACAAGTAAAAAGAAAAAAGCCTCTTAAACAAAAAGAAAAATGTTCTCAGTATCTCACTCCCAAAGATAGATTAGAACAGTTAAGTAAATACGATTCTAGACTGTTTCTTGATATCTCTCTATATACATAAGTGCATTTCTTTATTTAAAAAAATTGATCATGCTACATATGCCCCTTTATAATGCATCATCTCACTTAATGGAGCGTAGTGGACATCTTTTCACCTCAATAAATTTGTGTCAACATCATTATCTTTTAACCATATAATTAACAATTCTTAATTTTATTTTTTCCCCAAACTCCTCAACTATACCAGGAAAATAACCCAGATAGTACAAATAAAAACTAAAAGAGGGGAAAAAAATCCATAATTCCGTCCCCAAGAAAGGCACCAAAACAACTTTGTGTATACCATTCTAGACTTTTATTAATATTCATATATTCATGAAATATGTGCATATTTTTAAAATAAAAAACTAAGTAGTGCTGTTTCCTACCTTTTCACTTTATATAATGGACATCTTCCATTTTAATAAACACCCATCTACATCACCATTTTTAATAGCTGCGTTGGTATTCCATCCAGAAAGAGGATCATCTTTTTTAGCCAAATCCCTTTTTGATGGATATTTAGTTTGTTTTCCATTTAAATTATATTTAATTCCAATTATTACTTTAAGACAACTTCTTAGAGTAGAACACTTAAGCTGAAGGGTTGCACATTTTTAGAGGTTTTTGGAGCCTGTGCCAGTTGCCTTCTGGAAAGTTCACTTAGCTCTCCCGTCCTGGGCAGTGTGTTTCCCCATAAGGCCAGGAATTCTGAGTGTCTTCTGAATGGCTTCTCTTTGGATTTGTTTAAAGCAAAGACTGTCCTGAGGAGGCAGAGGCTCCAATGGATCTCCAGGCTAACTCTAAGAAGGAGGAGGAATATCGCAGGAACATCTGGAAGGGCTTCCTCATCTCCATCCCCTACTCGGCCAGCATCGGGGGCACCGCCACCCTCACGGGCACGGCCCCCAACCTCATCCTGCTTGGCCAGCTCAAGAGGTAAAAGCCAGTGCCCCACCCACTCCCCAGCACTGGGGTTTCTGTTCCTTCTATTCTTCTCCTCCTCCTTCATCCAACATTCAGGGGTGTCTGTTGAATGTCTTCTATTGGCCAGGCTCCGGGGACCCAGCGATGCACAAACCCCAGCAAAGTCCTTACTCTGGGGCACTTCCATTCTGGTGGGAGAGACAAGCAATACAGGAAAAAGCAAAAGAATATATAATATGTTAGTGTGACGAGTTATGAAATAAAGCAGGATAGTGGAGTAGAGGTGACAGGAGTGATGCTGTTTTATGTAGGTTGGTCATGGATGTGTGATCTCTCTGATAATGGTGACATTTGAGCAGAGACCTAGAAGTGAGGGGGTGAACTCTGTGGACACAGGAGGGAAGAGCAACCCAGACAGAGGGAATAGCTTGTACAAAGGTGGGACTGTCCTGGGGAACAGCACAAAGCCCAGCCAGGCTGGGGTTCAGAAGGGGATAAGGTAAGAAGAGGCCAGACTAAGGCAACAATTGTAAGGACGCGGCTCTTCCTAAAAGTGAGATGGGGAGTCAGAGGAGAGCTGAGAGCCGAGGGGTGACACGATATGACATCTGCTTCTAAAACCAACCCCGGTGGGGGGTGTTGGTGTGTGGCTGTGATGTGCTGTGAGAAGCTTTGCAACCAGCCACACGGGCCAGCAGTGGAGTGGATTCTGCCAAGAAGTGAAATCTCCCCATCGCTGAAACTGTTCAAGCAGAGGCTGGGTGGCCATCTGTCAGGGCATGAGAATCAGAGAAGGATTCGACAAGGTGGCTTGTCGTTGATTCCATTATTCCAAACCTCTTAGTCTGAAGATTTAAAAAATCCTTAGAATCCTTCAAGATTCTAAGTATTTTCAGATTCCAGGATTCTGAGAGGTGGGGTTTCTAAGATTTCATTGCAGTGGAGATGCATTTAATCTATGATTGTAAGTATTTGACAAACAAACAGCAACAAAACTATTTGATATCCAATATGGCCACATGTGCTGGCCAGCTTCTTTATCTGGTATTCAACCAAAGAATCAAGGACTTACTGGGATGATGGAGGGAAAGCTGGTTCGGTTGGTCTTCCTGAGAGTGGGCTTGGTATACATAAATCAGTACTATACTTGCGGGTAGTCAAAGTTATTTTCATGAGAAAACTTAAGTACACCTATGTCTTACCTCATGAACCAATTTTAAAACCTTAACCCTGCACCATATTCTCAGGTTCGCAAATCCTTTGATTTTAAGAGTACGATGAAAAACAGTGATTCTCAGCCATGGGTGCATTTTAGAGTCTCCAGGGAAGGTGAAAAAAATATGCTTGGATCTCGGTTGCAGAGATTCTGATTCAGGAGGTAGCAGTATTTCCCCCATTGATTTCAGCCCACTGCAAACCTTCGGTGTCTTTTTGTCTCCATTCTTTGAGCAAGACTTGGCTGTGAGACTGGAAAACCAGAAGCCGAGATGGCCCTGCTTCAGATGTAGGGACGATCTGGGCTGACCCTTTAGTCTCCTCCCTTAGCAGGAAGTGCCAGCAAAGGGGCAGTTGACTGGGAGGACAAAGCAGAGTATTGGGTATTAGTTCTTGCTGGAGCACATCCCCAGGGCTGGACGGGAAAGACGTGGACTCTGGGGGCCTCAGGGGCTGGTCCTGAGTTGGGGGTTGGGGAGAATGGGAGGGCATTTGCTATCAGAGGGTTTTTAGGCTGCCTGTCTGCTCTGATGTGAGCAAGCCTTTGTTCCGACTTGAAAAGAAATTAGGGGGGAAATGCTGGAGCTGTAAGTAAAAGTATCAAACATGAAGGCTTTTGAGTAAAGTGCACGCAAACTACGTGCAAATCATATACAACATTTAATTGCACAAGCTAGGACCTTCTGGTCAGGAAGGAGGGTATTTGAAAGGAATATGGGGTTAATATGGGGTTCTGAATCCCCATCGGGGAACCTGGGGAGACAGGGAAATGGCTGCCCTGAATGTTCTCCTTGGCCTTTGCTCCGCAAATACATTTTATGAGTTTATTCTGATCATGCACGATATAGACACATTATAGAACACTCAGAAAATACAGAAAAAAACATTTGAACGACGTTCAATCCCACTATTAATATTTAGCATACTTCCTTTAGTTTTCGTCTGTAAGTATATGTGCATCCATCGGCGTGGCTGACCTCGGCGGGCTCTCACCTCCCTCTTTTCTCCAGTTTCTTCCCACAGTGCGACGTGGTGAATTTCGGCTCCTGGTTCGTCTTCGCCTTCCCTCTTATGCTGATGTTCCTGTTGGTGGGCTGGCTCTGGATCTCCTTCCTGTATGGAGGGATAACCCTGAGGTACCCTGGTGTTTCACCTGAGCTTTGCGGCGGGATGAACCGTGCTCAGTAGCGAGTGGCCGCCCTAAGTCGTTACAGTTTCATGTCAGATGTGGCGCCTGTAGTCCTCCTCGCCTCCCAGGGATGTGGGGATTACAGGTGCTGTGGGAACTCGCCTGCTAAGCCCAAGCCCTCAGTGAATGTCGCTCACCATCAATAATTACTAACAGTGTTGTTACTTAAGTAAGGTACACACTCATATCAGAGGAGCAGATGTGCAGCGTTTCCCATTTCACAGGGCCTCAGTACAGGAGAGGGTCTGGGGGGTCATGAGGACAAGGTATCAAATAACATTGACTCAGACAGTGAGAAAAATATTCCTTTATCGACTCATGTAGAATCGATCTGCTTATGCTGGGGAGAAAGTTTCAGTAGGGTGAGGAAAAACTTTAACTCTCTAACCTTTCCAAATTAGCCTTTTAAAAAAGAAAGAGCAAGCCTCAGGCCCAGAGACTACAGCCAGCAGTGGTATCTAGCCATTTTGCTTTGCTTTCATGTCTTTATTTCTGTGGGTACTCTTTTTTTTTTTTTTTTTTTTTGGGGTACACAGGCCTCTCACTGCTGTGGCCTCTCCCGTTGCGGAGCACAGGCTCCGGACGCGCAGGCTCAGCGGCCATGGCTCACGGGCCCAGCCGCTCCGCGGCATGAGGGATCTTCCCGGACCGGGGCACAAACCCGTGTCCCCTGCATCGGCAGGCGGACTCTCAACCACTGCGCCACCAGGGAAGCCCTGTGGGTGCTTTCTATGTATGACAAGTGATTCTTGTTTTCTACGTATGGGAGCGATAGAAAGTTTTCCATTTAAATACATTTCTTTAATAAAAATGCTGAGCCTAGTTGGAGGAAAATGTTAAGGAAACACGAGCCCCGTGGTATGTGGCTATACGAACGTTTGTGAAAGTAGGTTATGAATGCCTGGAGTTTGGGGAATACTAAAATAGGAGCTGCAGCTCAGGGCTGGGGCAGCAAGCATGTCATAAAGTCATTCTCTGACTCAGTCCCCTCACCTCTCTGGGCCTTAATTTTTCTCATCTGTAAAATGGGACCAGTAACAGCTACTCTGGATCAAAGAGATGTGAAAACACCTTGAGAATAGAAAGGCTCTGATCGTGGTGTTCCTTGATCCCTCAGAGCAGAAACTCAGGGTTCAAAGCCCAGCTTAGCCGAGAGAAGCAAGCCCAGACATTGGACTCAGATAAACCAGAGTTCACATCATGGTTCTGCATGACCTTGAGCAACTCTGTCACCTCCCTGAGCCTTTACTTCTTTAATTTCTTCACTTTTAGTTGGGGGATAATAATGAGCTAAAGCTAAAATAAAGTCTAAATGAGGGAGAGTGCGAAAACTCCCCAGTGCTGAGCCTGAAACAGAGCCCCTTTCTCCTGTCTGCCTGTTCCTTGGACATCTGCAATACTTGGTCTCGGAGGAGGCTGTGATGAAGGAAATGCAAGTGGAGGGAAGCCCAGTGAGAGAGGTGTTTCTGGGTGGGTAGCAGGAAAGGTTCCGGCCAATCCCATGACACCACCTTCCTTCAGCAGGCATCCACCGAGCATCTGCTACGTGCCTGATGCTGTCACACAGGTGCTGAGGATGCAGCCCCTGGGCAAGGCTGAGGCACTCCTGCCCTTGGGGAGCTTGCAGTCTAGGTCGGGGGAGACAGACAGTGAACAACTAATCAAAGCAGAAATACCAGTCATGATTAGTGCTGGGAGGGAAATGGATGGTGAGATCTGAGGGTGCACGCTAGAGGGCTCTCACCTTACTGGGAGGGCAGGAGAGCTTCCTTGGGAAAGTGCGTTTGGAGCAGGAATAGGAAGAGTGAATAGATTAACTTAGTAAAGGGGAGAAGGAGATAGGGGTGATGAAGAGCATTCCGGGCAGATAGAGCAATGAGTGCAAAGGCCCCCAGGCCAGAGGTAGCAAGGGGTCTTCTGCAAATGAAAAAAGGTTAAAGGGACTGAGTTCAGGGTGTGAGGGAGATGTGTGGGCAATGAGACAAAATGATCAACTGGGCATGATTTTACCTCCCCCCACCTCACCCCGACCCAGGGACTTTTGGCAACGTCTGGAGACATTTTGCTTGTCACAGCCAAGGAAGTACTCCTGGGGTCCATGGGGTAGAGGCCAGAGGTGCTGCGAAACATTCTACAACATACAAGTCAACCCCCTACACCAAAGAATTATCCCACCTCACAACAAAGAATGATCCTGCCCCAATATTGTCAAGAGCTCCGAGACTGAGAAACCCTGGGTTAGATCACTGAGGGCCTTGTGGGACATGGATCTTCACAAAAAAGAACCGTTGTGAGTTTTTTAAAAAGCATTTATTTTTTTTAATTTGGATAAGCAACACATACACACGGTTCAAAAATCAAAAACAATACAAAGAGGTATGCAGTGAGAATTCTTCCCAACCATGCCTTCGATTACCCAGTCACCCAATACATCCCTCCCAAACAGGTATCCACTTTTATTGGTTTCTCGGGTAATCTTCCAGAGTTTCCATAAGCAAATACAAGCAGATACTATATATTTTCTGGTGACTGGTCTCCCTGACAGATACCATTTTGTATAGTAACAGGTATTTTTGTAAGGTAGATTTCCATAGGAGGGATTTCTTTTTTTTTTTTAATGAATTTATTTATTTATTTTTGGCTGCATTGGGTCTTTGTTGCTGAGCGCGGGCTTTCCTCTAGTTGCGCCGACCAGGAGTTACTCTTCATTGCGGTGCGCGGGCTTCTCATTGGGGTGGCTTCTCTTGTTGCGGAGCACGGGCTCTAGGTGTGTGAGCTTCAGTAGTTGTGGCACGCGGGTTCAGTAGTTGTGGCTCACGGGCTCTAGAGCGCAGGCTCAGTAGTTGTGGCGCACAGGCTTAGCTGCTCTGCGGCTTGTGGGATCTTCCCGGACCAGGGCTCAAACCCGTGTCCCCTGCATTGGCAGGCGGATTCTCAACCACTGTGCCACCAGGGAAGCCCCACAGGAGGGATTTCTGGGTCAGAGAATAAACACTTTATTTTAATAGATATTGTCCAGTCGTTCTCCGTAGGAATTGCACTAATTTGTTCCCCCATTTACAATGTATGAGAGTGTCTGTTTCCATGCAGCAAAGTGGATTTTTGCCAATCTGATAAGAGAAAAATAATTTGCGTTTATTTTAGAAGTAATTTTGAGAAACTTTTCATATTGAGGAGCAATATGAAAACTTTTCATATATTCATGGGAGACCCTGGTATTTCCTTTCCTGTGAATTGTTAAACTGTGTGTTTATATCTTTTGTACATTTAAAAAATTGATTGTTGGTCTTGGTTTTATTGATTTCAAGTACTCTTTCTATATTGAAAGATTAGTGCTTATTTTGAGTATGAGTTGCAAATATTTTTTCCTGATTTTTTACTTTGCTTATAGTGCTTTCTTCCATGCAGAATTGTTTAGAAACATTTTATGTAGATGAACTTATCAATCTTTTCTTATGTGTCTTCTGAATTTTCAATTACAGTTAGAAAGGTCTTTCCATTATAGGAGTTATAAAAGAATAATCCCATGTTTTCTTCTAGTATTTTAATATTTTTTATGTTTAAATTTTTTATCTATTTGGAGCTTATCCTTAGGGTGCAGTGTAAGGATCCAACCTTGGGGTACAGGTTTGGATCCAACTTTTTTTTTTGTTCCAGATGGCCATCCAGTTGTCCTGATACCATTTACTGACACACAAACGTTTTTAATTTTAATGAAGTCAATTTATCTATTTTTGGTTGCTTGTGCTTTTCGTATCATGTCTAAGAGGTATTTGCCTAATCTGAAGCCATGAAAATTTACCCTTATGTTTTCTTCGAAAAAATGTTACAGGTCTAGCTCTTCTTCTATTTAGGTCTTTGATCCATTTTGAGTTAAATTTTGTATGTGGTATGAGGTAGGGGTCCACGCTCATCTTTTTGCATGTGGCTATCCAGTTGTCTTAACACCATTTGATGAAAGACTATTCTTTCCCCATCGAATGGTGTTGGTACCCTTATCAAAAATCAATTGACCATAGAAATGTGGGTTTATTTCTGGACTCTCAATTCGATTCCATTGATCTATATGTCTAACATCAATGACTGAATAGGTCATCTTTTCTACACCAAGCTGGGATACCAACTTTATCATAGATTGAATCCCCATTTATAGTTTTGTCTGTTTCTGGACTTTCTATTTTATTTCCTTGGTTTATCTGTTTATTCATGAGTCTGTTTGACCCCCTAAAGGATTTTAAGCCTGGGAGCCATATGATCAGATTCACATTTTTAGAAGACTATCCAGGCTATAGGTGGGCAGAACAGATTTTAGAAAGGGAACATAGAGGCAGGCCGACCACTCAGCAGGCTGTTGCAGAGTCTCCAAAACAGAGATAGTGAGACCTGGCCAGATGGTGGTGGGGTAGATGAGACGCTAGTTAGACTGCAGTGGCCACTCCTAACCTCCCCACTTTCTGTTTCAGGGGCTGGAGGAAGAAGAAATCTGACATCAGAAGTGACGCAGAAAATAGGGCTCGAGCCATGATTCAGGAGGAATTCCAGAACCTGGGGCCCATCAAGTACGTGGCACAGGGGTTTTCAGGGTGGGGAGAGAGCCAGGTACTAGACTTTCAAGACAGCTACCTCTTGACTTAATCCCTGACCCCCTTGGAGACTGAGTCCCAAGGGGATTTCAGGACCAACGGCCTGGGAGCCTAGAGATGGAGAGTAGGGAGATGACTTACACAGTCAGCTCTTGCCCTGTCGCTGGGGTAGATACCCTGAGGACCAGTAAGCCTCTCAGGTTGAACTTGGAGGGGGAACCTGTCACCTTCCCGCCTAATGCGCACTTTCCTTCCTGGTTCATGGAATATGGGATGCTGCCTTGGGTGGCTTCCAGAAGCTTGTTTCGCACATATTTCTCACGTAGTGAAAATAACTAAGAGTTAGCAGGCCTTCACACAAGGTCTGACTCTGCCACTAATTTTTTGTGTAGCCTTGGGCAAGGCACTAACCCTCTCTGGGCCCTGCTCCCTGATCTGTGAAATGGGCACATTGGGTAGATATTCGCTGCAACATTTAGGGATTCTCTCTTTCTGCCTCTGTCTACCGCTCTCTCCATGTCTGTCCCTCTCTGTGTCTGTCCCCCTCTGTATGTATGACTGTTCCTCTCTCTTTGCCTACCTCTCTGTTTCTGTCAGTTTCCTTTCTCTCTGCTTTTCTGACTCTGTCTCTGTTTCACTTCTTTCTCTCTCTGGATTGTCCCTAGGACTATGGGAAATTCCCAGCGCGAGTGATATGAATGGTTTGTGGGGAAGGGTGCCTTATGCTCAGGAAGGATCCTAGGGCAGCATGGGAGCCCCAGGAAAGGAATCACTTACACCTGGGACACCACTCCCCTTACTCTCGGGACCACCTGGGGAGTGCACTACTTCCAGCTTTCAGAGGTAGGGCCTGGCCCAGTCACACCCAGTGGGCCCCTGCCTGAGGGCTTCCTGTGCTGTGGTCCAGCCACAGCCCACGGTCACAATGCTGTCTGCATCTCTGTGCCACAGGTTTGCCGAACAGGCCGTGTTCATCCTTTTCTGCATATTCGCCATCCTCCTCTTCTCCCGGGACCCGAAGTTCATCCCTGGCTGGGCCAGCCTCTTCACCCCTGGGTGAGACTCTGGGGACACATGGGATGGAGTCCAACAGGGAAGACTCGGGGCTGGGCCGCTGGGGCTGAGGAGGCAGTGTAGCTGGGGAGAACTGGGCTATGTTTCCACCTCTCATCCCATGTAATTATTAACAGTTCCTTCTTTTGCCCTCAAAAGAGTTTAGGTTTGGATGATAAAACATTTAGCGTCTCCTGTGTTAAGAGCTTTGCCTTTGGAATCAGACAGAACTGGGTTCGAATGCCAGCTCCGCCACTTACAAACTGTGCAACCCTGAGCACGTCATTCATTCATTCATTCACTCAAACAACTTTTATTGAGCACCTATTTTTTGTTAAACATTATGCCAGCAGCTGGGGACAGAGATAAAAACAAATAGACAACAAAATAACTGCAAATTGTAATGAGTGCTATGAAAGAAGGAGTGAGAGGGTTATACTCTCAAAGAATGGAGTAGGGGGCATTGACTTTGGTTAGCTCTGGAAAGAACCAAAGTTTAGGAAGAGTAAAAATTAGAGACACACTGGGAATATCTACTAAAAGCCTGAGGTGGAAATCAACATTTGAAGAACTGAAAGAAGCCCATTGTAACCAGGGCCTGGTGGGAGGGAGGAAAATTGGCAGACATGTGACTGGAAGGGCAGGTGAGGACCAGACCATGAAGGGTCTTGTTGGACATGCTAAGAGTTTTGGTCTTGTTTTGTTGTTTTTTTTTAATGGGAGATCAGTAGCAAGCTATTGGAGGGTTTTAAGGTACTTAATCTCTCTGTGCCTCAGCGTTCTCATCTGTAAAATGGTGTTGTAAATAGTCCAATTCTCACTGAATTGTTCTAAGGAGCAGGGAGTTAATACATGTCAAGTGATTAGACAGGCGCCTAGAAAGAGCTCAATCACATATTAGCTGTATTTATTAGGGAATGGATAGTGGGGGCAAAATATAGGTGGGGAGAACAGTTAGGAGCTATAGCACCACCTAGATGACCCCAGCGGTTGTCAAACCAAGGCTCATGGACCAAATCTGGTCCGCCGCTTGTTTTTGAATTTTTTTTAATGTTTTTAAGTGGCTAGGGGAAACATTTTGTGGCACATGAATATTATATGAAATTCAAATTTCAGTATCTACAAATAAAGTTTTATTGGAACACAGCCACACCTATTCATTTACCTATTGTCTGTGGCTGTTTTCGTATTGTGTGCCCTTTATAGGAGATGTTTACTGAACCCTGGTTGGGGACGAAAGCTTCGATGGCTTGAATGAGAGTGGGGGCAATGGAGATGGAGCAGACAAGATATATTTCAAAGTTGGAAATGATAGGACTTGCTACTGGGTGGGATTTGGGGGCATGAGGGAAAGGAGTTACCTGCATAGGTGGGTAGTTGGAGAATAACATTTCTTTAGGGGGTTGGGGGTGGCTTATCAACAATTCCATTTTGGAGTTGTTTTAGACGTGTCAAGTCTAAAATGCTTTTCAAATACTGCAAAGGGTAGTTGGATGCGCAAGCCTGAAGCTCAGAGGAGTCAGGTTGCAGATATAAATCTGGGGGTCACCATATAAATTTCCAATTTAAATCCCTAGGAATTGATGGGCTCAGCCAGGGAAAGCATATAGGAGCGTAGAGAAGACTGAGGATCCCCAACGTTTAGGAGCTGGGTAGAGAATGATCCCATTAGAGAAAATGGAGAAGAAGCAGTCAGCGAGGCAGGGGGAAACACTGGAGCAACGGACTAGCACAGGCCAAGAGAGAGGAGTGTTTAAGGAAGGAGTGAGTGGGAAATATGTCAAATTCTGGTGTGATCTAGTTAGAACACGATTAGATGGAAGATACGTCCTCTGGATTTGGCGAGCTCTGATGATTTTGATCGGCACCATCCAATAGAGATGTTATGTGAACCACAAATGTGATTTTAAATTTTTTAGTAGTCACATAAAAAAGTAAAAAAAAAACCAAACAGATGAAATTAATTTGAATAATGGATTTTATTTAACGCTATATCATTTCAATATGTAATCCATACAATAAATTATTGTTGAGCTATTTTACATTCTTTTTTCTACACTAAATCTTCAAAATCTGATGTGTGTTTTACACTTGCCACATTTAGTCTTGTCACATTTCAAGTGTCCACTAGACACATGTGGCTCATGGTGACCATACTGGATAGAGCAGCCCTACACACTTCACCCTCTGAGCCTCAGACTCCCCCCACCCCTGGTAAAGTGGGGGATACACGTTCCAATTTCATGAGGGTTCTTATGAGGAAGAAACAATATAATATCATGGAGCCAAAAGAAGTGGCTCTTATTACCATTCTTTTATTTTTCCAAAATGTAGGTACTTTGGGTTTTTTTTCAAATGAAATCTGGTGTTATAAACCATTCCAACAATAGTGAAAATCACTTAGAACCTCAATTTGCAGTTCTGATGTATGTCTTTTTTCTGACTTAAAAAATGCCTGTCTGGGAACTGTTCTACATCTTGATCGCATTGGTGGTTACAGGACCGTATACATTAGTCAGAACTCATTGAACTGTATCCTTAAAATGGGTGCATTTTATGGCATGTTAATTATACCTCAATACAACTAATTTTAAAACACATGCAAACTCACTAAAAAGAAGCCTAGCAAACACAAGAATTTTTTCAACAGAAATGTGATTACAGTAAACATAGTATTTGTTGTTTTTTTTAACTTTTTATTGTATATTAGAGTAGAGTTGATTAACGATGTTGTGATAGTATCAGGTGTACAGCAAAGTGATTTAGTTATACATATACATGAAACATAGTATTTGTGATCTGCTTTTTTCTTTGTTGTTTAGTTACAAAATTATGCTCATTATAAAAAACTCAAACAATGCTAAATTGAAAAAGTAAAAGTTAGTTTTCCTTCATTCCCCAGAGATTATCACAATTAACAGTTTGGTGTATAACATTTCAGATACACACACACAACCTATATTAATATATACACACATACATATATGTTTACATATAACAAAAAATTGGAAAATACAATAATGAGATCATAGACAACCTGCTATTTCTGACCCACTTCATTCTTTTTAAACAGTGCATTGTAGTCTATAGAATGGGCCCATCTTAATTTATTTAACCAATTAAATCCTTTTTGGATCGTGTCCAATACTGCAGATAAAAACTTGCTTTTTTTTTTTAATTTACAAGGTAACTTGGTTGTATTTCCATGTCAAATGTAACAATTGATAATATCTTTTATCCTTTTTTTGAACAGCTGAGGGGTATTTCATTATATATATTATAATACACAATGTATTTAAACATGTCCCTACTAAAAATCCTCCATTTTTTTCTAATCTTATCAATAATGAACGTCCCGGTACATAATCTGTGTACAAGAGCCCAATCATTTCCTGTGGATAAATTCCTAGAGGTACAACAACTGGATTAAGGGGTATTCATATGTAAAGTTTTGAAATGTATTGCCAGCATGTGTTTCTCAACATCCTCATTAGATATTATCACCCTCTTCACGTTTTGCCTGTCTGTTAGCGTGTGTTTTGATCTGTATTTCTCTATTACAGTGATATTGGCCATCTTTTCCAGTTTCTTGGCTCTTTGAATACTCTTATTTCCAAATATGTGGGCTGAAAGCCCTTTTGTTGGCACTTGGCTCTGTGCCTCATTGAACTTGGAGCCAGATATATCTGAGTTCAAGGCCATCTCCTCTACAGACTATGGTCTGGCCCTGAGCAAGTTGCTATTGCTCTTTGAGCCTCAGATTCCTCATCTGAAATGGAAGATGCCTGCCCTCAAGGGCTGTTTCTAAGACTTCTGTGGGCTTAATGTCTCCATAGGACATGTTGTGGATCCTTGGAAGGTGGTAGTGAGGTTTTGAGGGGCTATGAGGTGGGCTCCATCTGAGCTCTGCTGGTGTGAATGGGCTGCATCTCCATGTACTAAGCTGCCCATCCCAGGAGGAATGCAAGCAGGAGCTGAACAAATACATACAGGACTGTTACAGGAGCCCCGGTTATGGTGATGCATGGGGGTACCATAGACCCCAACCTTCTGTGGCTCTCAGATTCTCCCCTCTTTGATCAAGTCCCTCTTCCTAGGGTCCTTGAAATGGGAGGATAAACATTTGTTTGGCTCAAGCAGAGTCTAAATGCCCCAGGGAGCAGTGGATAAAGAGCTTCTGCATCCATGGGTGGTTGCATCCCTGCTGACTGCAGTGCAGAACAGAATCCGGTGGCCTCCAACAATGTTCCCTTCACGGTGGGCCTAATTCCCTTCGACAGATCCTCATTTGCAAATCTGCCAAACCTTGGCCTGCTGAGATGCCCAGGGTCACATGCTTTGGGGCCTTGTCATTGTAGGTTTATTTCTGATGCTGTCACTGGCGTGTCCATTGTCACCGTCTTGTTCTTCTTCCCGTCCCAAAAGCCATCTCTCAAGTGGTGGTTTGACTTTAAAGGTAAGGTGGGCAAGGCTGGGGTGTCGGTGGCCTGGAGCGTGGTCATCAGTGGCCTGAAGGTGGGGCCCTCCTGGGACTGACAGCCCTATTGTACTAATCACGTGGTGCTGCTTCTTCCCTTTCCCCGTCTGAGCATTTACCATGTCTGCCAGAGGTGACAGTCCAGGGCAGGGATTAGCAATTATAGTCCATGGGCCAGATCCAGCTGGCTGGCTGTGCTTATACAGCCTGTGAGCTAAGAATAATGGCTTTCACATTCTTAAAATGGTTGAAAAGAATCAAAAGAAAAATATTTCATGACTCGTGAACGTGGCATGAAATTCAAATTTGTGTCCACAGATAAAATGTTTTTCATTTCTTCAATAAGAGGTTTGCGGACATCTATTAATATTTTCTTTAGTCATATAAGTACCTATACAGTAGCCTCGACTTTGCCCAGAAAAACTCTGGGCCCAAAGCAGGAGTTGCAAGTCAGTTGCCTAAGGGCCCGGGAGATGAAAACCTCAAGCTGGGTTTAAATGGATAGCAAGTGGTGGGGGAACTGAGGCAAAACTGGCTATAGGCATTCAAATTCAGCCTCAGGGAATCACTGAGCCCTCCACACCAACCTGCCTGTAGGCTGGCCTTCAGATCACCAATCTGTGACCCCACCGGAATTCCAGCCGGTGTCTGCAGAAGAAGGTGCCAACGCCTGCCACCTGTGACAGAGGCTGTGACTGGCCCATCTCCATCTGGGGCAGTGGGATGAGCTCTGGACCAGGAGTCAAGAACTAGGAGGTCGTAATCCAACTATCTTCTATTGTTGGAAAAGAATAGCGTATTACACAGGACAGCTCCGGTTTCCAGGAGGAGTGGGGTTTTGTGTGTGTGCAGTGCGGCGTACGGACCAGTAGGGAGCCAATTTCCCAGGGACGCACAGACTGTAGCAGAGCTGGACCTCGAGGAGGCTTAGGCTGTGGCCCCTGAGGCTCTGCCACTGAACGGGATTCAGTTATTCTCTTCCTCTCTGCTTCTCTGTCTTGTGGCCAGCCAGCTTTCCTCACCATCCACTCTCGGTATCATTTCTTGGTCTGTTCAGAGTTTCTACTGCTTCTGAGTTGTGGCATCTCGGTGGCTTCTGCTTCATCCGAGTTCCCGCTTCATTGTAACTTCTGTTCCCTTGTGGGGTAGCGCCCTTTCCCTCACAGTACCTAATCCCACTGCTCCGGCTACTTCCTGCCTCCTGTTTCTGTCTCTCGAAGCATCGAGTCCCACACACCTTCTGCTTCCTCGTAGCAGCTACTCTCTTAGAGGCTTTGCTCCGTCTCCGGGTGTGTCTGCTCCCTCCAGCCACTGCCCCCTCACAGTACCTATTTCCTCACACGTTCTGCTTCCTCAGAACTCAGCCCGCTCACGGCCTCCATATCACCCGGCCCTCTCTCTCTGTCCGCTCTTGCATCTTCAGTTATCACTTCTCTTCACCGAGTTGTCTCTCTACTTCCTACTGATGCTTCTGAGTCAGAAACTGCTTGGTCCAGCTTGTTCTTATAAAAGCAGATCGCTTCCTACTGTGTCACCTCGTGGCCTCATAGTTTCCTGGCCAGCCTGTGGCCTGGCTGCTCTAGATCAGGTGCCCAGCCATGGTTCTGTCACCTGTGGGTGGGCTCATAAGGCCCAGAGCTTCCTCTCAGCTGGGACTGTGGGGAGGGCACTATGGCATACACGTGCGGAATCCCAGCTCTGTTACGAATTTGCTGGGTGACCTTGAGAAAGTTCCTGTACCCTGTGGGCCTTGCTTTCCCAGTTAGGAAGTGAGTGGGGCCCTTAGTCACTTTTCACCCCTGGCTTTAGCAGTTCTCTAGGACATGTCCAAATTCAAACGCCGCGTAACATTTTTGTGTGCCGCTGATTGGATGCAGGAGAATGTGTTTGGTGGAACTTGGCCCTCCCTGTCCATCTCTCCTTTCACATTTTTGCAACAGGACAGTTTCTGTGTTACAGGGAAAACAGCAGCAGAGGGTGATGGTAATTGGCAGGACCTTCAGTGTCAGAGCCTGGTGGGATCTGTGGGAAACAGCCAAGCCAACGTCCAAATAAAGGGGGCAGCTGTTACTCAGTCTCCCCTGACTGTCCCCGTGTAGGAAAGCACGACTAGTTTTGCCAGATTTGCTGATTTTTTAAGAGAAGCAGAGAATCTGGAATTTTATGAAATCTCCCTGATTTTAAACTTTGGCAGCTAACACTGGAAAACAAATACTACGTGGGCCCATCCAGTAGTGTTAAAACACATCTCTAGGTTGGATCCGGCCCATGGAGTGTAGCATCCTGCCTCAGCTGAGGGTTCTTTAAACTGGAGTTTTCAGTGTTGCCCAGTGGGTGGGGAGAGGGAATTCCACCCGCGCTGCCCATCCTTCGGCAGCTAGTGGGCCCGTGCAGACTTGGCCGAAATGATGCTTTCTAGTACTCAACACCCATGTCTTACAGGCGGCCTTAGAGAGTGGTCAGTCAGTTTCCATGGAGAGAAAGTGACTTGATCAAGGTCACACAGCTAGTTAAAAAGAGACAGGGGGTGGAACCCAGACATCCAAGCCAACCTTGATTTTCTTATCTTACCCACTGTCTTCCATTCTTCTATGGATCTGAGTTGCACTTGCAACTCCCTTTATGGTCTCTCAGCAAGTATTGATGCTCTGCCTACTATGTGCCAGGCACTGTGCTTGTGGATGACGACGATGTTGTTGATGTTGATGACGATGATGTGGATGGTGATGTGGACGGTGAGGAGGAGGAAGAGGAGGTGGAGGGTGTCGTTGAGGAGGAGGAGGAAGATGACCACCATGTGGATGATGACAGCTTCCATTTCCTCTTTGCCCAAAAAGCCCTTCCTCCAGATATCTCCAGAGAAGCCTTCTCTGACTACACCATCTATAAAAGCACCCCTCCTTTGTCACTCCGTCCCTTTCCTGTATTTTCTTTTTCTTCATAGCACATACAGTGTCCCAACATTATACATTTATTGATTTATCACCTGCCTCACTTATTGGAATATAAGTTTTCCAGTGGGCAGGGTTTTCTCTGTTTTGACCACTCCCATATCCACAGTGTCTAGAAGAGTGCTTGACACATGGTAGGTCCCCAATATACACTTGTTAAATAAATGACCGAGGACTTGCTCTGGGCCACATCCTGGGCTGAGCCCTTTGCATACATGGGCCCGTGTCATCTTCCCAGTTGGTCTCTGAGAAGGTACTGCTGCTCCCTTTTGCAGATAAGGGCACTGAGCCTCAGAGAGGCAGAGCCACTAGCCCAAGTCACATAGCCGAACGGCAGAGCCAGGATTGAATTCTTTCTAGTTCAACCTCAAAGCCTGTGCTTTCAGCTCCTGCTCTAGAAGGCAGCTGGCATAACGTGGAAGTGAGAAATTTAGACAGTTAGAGGCTGCACTTATGAGAAATAGTGGCAAGGGCATGGTTGGATGGGAAAATAATAAAGGCAATAACAGCTAATGTTAATTGCCATTACCATATGGTGAGCAGTCTTATAAGCACTCACCACTTAACTCGCTTCACCTGCATTATGTTAAACTCATCTCAGGGCCTTCTGCCTCCCCTGTCCGACCCTGAAAAGTGAGTCACTTTACTTTTTCAGACCTTGGCTGTCTCTTTAATGAAATGCTATTTTATTGCCTGAAGGCAGAGGGCTGGGCCTCCTGACATCTCCAGCTGCCTCTTCTAGTTCTGGGCTTAAATCATACATTGTGCTTGGCCCAAGAATCCCCTGGCAGTGTGTGACGTCAGAACCGCCTGGGTACACCCAAGGGCTGCAAATTATCTAGGGGAGGGCCTTTATTAAGTAGCTTTGATTGTCTTTATTATCCAATTATTAACTTTTGTTTTAGAAAACCACGGTGTACAATTTTGAAAAACACTGAAAAGGGGAAACAAAATATCAATGGGTACTAAACCAGGAACTGTCCTGACAGAGGGCGAACTGCTGTGAATGGGCCAGACCCATCCTCCTCCAGAGAGGCCGCTGGCAGCCCGCGGTGAAGAGTGCCAGTTCAGGAGTGCTTATTCGGCACCAGGCACTGGGCTGTGTGAGTTGAATATATTATTCGACAAGTACTTATGGAGTGACTTCCAGGTGTCAGTCAGGGACACTGGGATACGGCTGCAAACTCAACAGAAATGTCCCTCCACTCACAGCTCCCTCGCTGCTTCATCAGTGCCCACGAGAACCCCCAGGTACTATTATTGTGTCGGGTATTGGCTGAGGATATGGGGGCTTAGAGGCAAGGTCACGTTTCAAGGGCACACAGGGTCCAGGAGGATGCTCTCAATGCAGGGATGACAAACTATAGCCCGAGGGCCAAATCAGGCTGCCACCCGCTCTGTAAATAGAATTTCATGGAAACACTGCCACACCTACGTGTGTCCGTTTTGTCTGTGGCGCTTTCATGCTACCGTGGCAGCCTCGCTGCAACAGAGGCCTGCAAAGCCTAAATTAGTCACTCTCCAACTCGCTACAGAAGACATTTGCCGACCCCTTCTTCTAACTACTGCAGACGTGGCTGCTTTTGAAGAAATACAAATCATCCTGTACTTCCGTGGACCAAACGTTCCCTTGGTTTCTATCCTCCTGCATTTCCTTCCTCTCCCCCCCCCCCCCCCCCCCGTACACCTTCAGTTACAAAGAGGGCCTTTTCTCTTGTAAATCAGAGTGAAAGTAGTACTTACCCAGAGGGGCTTGTCACGAGATGTAAAGGATGTTCTGCGTGTGGACTGCCCAGTTCCAGAAGATTCTCAAGCTGCATTCTGAGTAGAGCAGACGCCCCAAATCAGACGCTGGAGCCAGATTGTGGCTTCCCGGAGACCCCTGAGTGTCCCCACCAAGATGGGGCTGCTGGGGCCGGTATCTCCTCCTCCGGCTGACTGTCCTGAATGTGTGTTGGGTCCCCTCCCTGCCCGGAGGGGAAGGGTGTCCCCTCCCAGGCTAAGTGTCTTCTCTCTGCCCAGCTCCCAACACAGAGACAGAGCCCTTGTTGACATGGAAGAAGGCTCAGGACACGGTGCCCTGGAACATCATCCTTCTCCTGGGAGGGGGCTTCGCCATGGCCAAAGGCTGTGAGGTAAGAGCAGCAGGCAGGCTGCAGCCTGGGGAGGTGAGTGCCGGTCCCGGGGCAGCCGCAGGTGCAAGAGCAGAGGCAGCAGACTACGCGGGCCCCGCGGGCACCACAGATTCCCCATCTGCCACATGAGGGTCATCGTAGTTGACACCTCACAGCTCCCTGCTGTGCCTGGCGCTGCCCAGAAAGAGAGAAAAAAGGTACGAGGTAGAATCTCAAGGAGCTTGCAACGAGCATTACACTAGTACTACTACTAATATGACTAGAGGGTCCTGTGAGCACAGAGGAGTAACACCCTAGCAGGCTCACCCTGTACCAGGCACTGTTCAACGTGTTTTGCACATATCTCATTTAAACTTCCCAGCAAGCCTATGAGATAGATGCCATCGTTATCCCCATTCTATAGATTAGGAAACTGAGGCACAGGGAGGTAAAGTAACTTGCCTGAAGCCACACAGCTATGTACTCAGGATAAGAATCCAGGTAGTTTGGCTCTAGAGCCTACGCTCTTGACCGCTATGTTAGGTGTTGTGAATATTAATTACTTGGTGTTACTATTAATGTTATTCTAGAGGGCTCTGTGAGCACAGGGGCAGAGCCGGGACTAGACTGAGGCGAGTGAGGCACTGACAGAGCAGAATTTCCGGAGGCACGCAGTCTCAGCACAGCCAGCCCTGCTCAGAGGAAGTGCAGCTTCAGTGTCCAACATGTGTCATAACATATTATCTCATTGAATCCTCACACTGGCTCTCAGGGTTGGGGAATATTTATTTTTTTTATTTTTTTTTATTTTTGGCCGTGTTGGGTCTTCGTTGCTGCACGCAGGCTTTCTCTAGTTGCAGCGAGCGGGGGCTACTCTTTGTTGCGGTGCGCGGGCTTCTCATCGCGGTGGCTTCTCTTGTTGCGGAGCACGGGATCTAGGTGCGTGGGCTCAGTAGTTGTGGCTCATGGGCTCTAGAGCGCAGGCTCAGTAGTTGTGGCGCGCAGGCTTAGTTGCTCTGCAGCATGTGGGATCTTCCCGGACCAGGGCTCGAACCCATGTCCCCTGCACTGGCAGGCGGATTCTTAACCACTGCGCCACCAGGGAAGTCCCGGGAATATTTTTATACCCATTTTCCAGGTAGAAAAACCGAGGCCTGGAAAAATGAAGCAATTCTCTTAAGGTCATACAGTTGCGCTCTGCTTCAGGGGTGGGGTTCGAACTCCAGTCCATCTGATTTCAGAGTCCAGCCTCCTAACGGCTCAGTCTTGAGAACTTCCCAAGTGCCAGGCACCTCAGGAAGCACTTTGCAAATACTGACTCTGTTAATCTTCAAAGACACAGTTGAAGTAGATGTTGTTGCTGTCCTCATTTCCAAGGTGAGGAAATGGAGGCAACTCGAGGCTAAACAAGTTGCCTACTTTTGTGCAGCCAGAAGGCAGAGCTGGGATTTGAACCCACAGCTCATGAAGCTGGGCCCCACCCCCCCCCTAAATTTCTCCATGTAAGCCGAGGTATGAGAGGCCACAGCCAATTAAGGGTCAAATGGGAAATTAAGGTAAAGGAAACCTGAAATTACTTCTCAAATTGCTTACTTTTTAAAATTCGGTTTTGTGTTTGCACGGCAGAAATAGAGACACAGATGTAGAGAACAAATGTTTGGACACCAAGGGGGTAAAGTGGGGTGGGAGGGTGGGAGTGGTGGGATGAATTGGGAGATTGGGATTGACATATATACACTAATATGTATAAAATAGGTAACTAATAAGAACCTGCTGTATAAAAATAAATAAAATTCAAAAAAAAGAAAGGAAAATTCAGTTTTTAAAAAAATTTATTTTATTGAAGTAAAGTTGATTTACAATGCTGTGTTAGTTTCTGCTGTACAGCAAATTGATTGTTTTATATATATACACATTCATTTTCAAATTCTTTCCATTATGGTTTATTACTGGATATTGAATATAGTTCCCTATGCTATACAGTAGGACCTTGTTGTTTATCCATTCTCTATATAATAATTTGCATCTCCTAATCCTAACCTCCCAATCCATCCCTCCACCACCCCTCTCCCCCTTGGCAACAAGTCTGTTCTCTATGTCTGTGAGTCTGTTTCTGTTTTGTAAATAAGTTCCTTGTGTGTCATATTTTAGATTCCAAATATAAGTGATATCATACGATATTTGTCTTTCTCTTTCTGACTTCCTTCACTTAGCATGATAATCTCTAGGTCCATCCATGTTGCTGCAAATGGCATTATAAAATTCAGTTTTAATTATCAGTTTCAAATAGTGTTACGGAAACCCAGGCTCGGGATCTGAGTACCTGGATTCAAATCCGAGCTATCCTACTCCTTGCTGGGGCCCTTTAGGCAAGTTCCATAACTCCTCTGGGCACCAGTTTTCTCAGCTATGAATGGGCTTGAAGTTCTTACTCTATGGGGTTGTTGGGAGTAATTAAAGAAGAGAGTAAATGAAGGGATACACCGCTAATAGGAGCCAAGAGCTCCCTGTGTGTTCTCTTGAAACATTCACTCCATGGTGATTGCGGGTTCAGCTTCCAGGAGGCTGACTCTGAGGCGGGGATTAGTGAGCAGGCATTAGGCTGTGCCCTGTGAAAGGGAGGGAAGGAAGCAGGAGAGGTGGGGAGACTCCGCCCCAAGAGTGGTATAACCTCGGGCAGGACAACTTCCGGTCTGAGCCGGTCCCTCAGGGGCTGACAGTGAAGGCCGTCTGCTGCCCGCACTCCCTGCGCTGGGACAAAAGGCCTTCAGAGTCCCGAGAGCGGAACCATCACGCTATGGACCCCACACCAAGGCCACACTGAAGGGGGACCGGGGGGCACATCCAGCTTCTCTACATAGCTACTCTTTTTATGTGAAATGTGTTTTTATTTTGTTCATTTTTTTCAATAAATGACACATACAAAGGTACAGACTTCAAAAGGAACAAAAAGATGGATGAACAAAAGTACTGTTTTTGTCTCCATTTTAGGAATCCTGAGGACCAGAGAGGTTAAGTGACTCATGCTAGGGAACACAGCTCATAGGTAACAGAGCTGGGCTTTGAACTTGCATCTGTCTGACTCTTCTCACTATTCTCACTATTGCCTCCTACTGGGGATGTATCAGGGAAGGCTTCTGGGAGGAAGTGGCATGTTAGCCATGGCCTTGAGGAGGCCATGCAATGCAATGGTAGAAAGCATGGGTGGTGGACCCAGACCATCTGGGTTGGAGTCAATCTTTCACCTCTGAGCTGTGTGCCTCCATTTCCTAATCTGTAAAATGGGCATAATAATGGTGCCCATCTCATAGAGTTGTTACATTTATTAAGTGAATTAATACATGTGGAGAACTTAGAACACAGCCAGACATAGTTGTCTATTATGATTAGATATTATGGAAAAGGGGAGGTTCTTGCCCTGAGCAACTCAGTGGAAATGATGCCATTTATCGAGATGATATGAACCTCGCCTCACCCTGAGCCTGACCTGCACCCCAAAGGCTTCTCCAAGCTCAGGGAGTGGTGGACAAAGACTGGCTCTCAGTGGGCCTGGCTGCAGGACCGCTGAGCATGCCGGGAGGCCAGTCTGGCTCCTGGCCCAGCCTTGGGCAGCTGGCCGCGGTTTCTGTTCAAAAAGGACTTTGTGTGACAGCTGCTCCCTCCCCCAACCCCTGCTCGTACCATCCCCCCCCACAGGCGGCCTGCTGCAGGAGGGACCAGAGTGCTCAGGGCATGTCCTGCTTCCTAGCCCTGCCCAGTGCCCTCGCCAGGTCACAGCCAGGCCTCCTGGGGCTTAGAGGCCTTTGCACTGGGACTGGACTCCCACCTGCTGGTTCTGAAGGGCTGGAAGCAGATCCCAGTGCTTGCTCTGAGGTTGACCACTTGATGTCCTCACTGCAGATTTCTCCTGCTGCAAAACTGCCCATATAATTAGACTCTAGTCTGATGGCTTGACTTGGCCTACACACGACAGCCCCTGCCTACCTTCCTGATGTCAGCTCATACCTCTATCCCCTTGTGGGCTCCCCTCCAGTCCCATTGGCCCCTTAAAGTTGCTCAACCACACGACTCATTTGCACCCCAGGACCTTTGCATCTGCTTTCTCTCTGCCAACTGCTCTTGCCTGAGATCTCTGTGTCCTTACCCTCAGGTCTCGGCTCCAAGGTCACGTCCTCAGAGAGACCATCCCTGACCACCCTGTCTAAAGTAGCATCTGCCCTTCACAGTCACTCTCCCTCTTATCACCCCACTTATTTCCTTTACACCATACCTACCCCCAAGTTATCCTATTCATTTGTTTGTTTATTGGTATCTCTGTTACTAGAATGTAAGCTCCACAAGGGCAGGGACCATACCTGTCTTATCCATTGCTGTCCTAAGCATCTAGAAAAGTCCTAGTGCATAACGTGATCGCGTAATAAATATTTGTTGGACAAGACCTACAATATGGGCTGTTTTGAGGACTGCTGACATGATGGATGGCAAGTACCTAGCAGAGGGCTGATACAGACCAGGTGTTAAAACCAGCAGCCTATGTCAACCTCACCACTTTCCTTGTTATTATAATTTTACTGTCTCATAAAAAAAGGTCTTATTCTGACACCTTCATTTATATCTCTTTTAATCTCTACCCACAATAAACTTACCTACAGATATATTCAGTGATACAAGCTTGGTATTAAATCAGGGTGGAACAGACCCTATAGGCAAGTAGAAACGTGTGTATTCTCCTGAATCCCTCATTTCCTGCTGGAGAGTTATCTTATTATTATTATTGTTGCTGTTGTTGTTATTTTATTGACAAGGTAGACTGATGAAGTAAGAGCCAGATCCTGGGCTCAAAATTCCAAACTTAATTGACTTATCTGGGCAAATCACAACCTCTTTGTGCCTCAGTTTCTTCAACCATAAAATACAGATAATTATACTACTTACTTCATGGAGTTGTTTCGAAGATTAATAAGTTAACATTAACAAAATACTTAGAAGAGTGCCCAGCACAGAATGAGCACTATATTAAGTGTTCGTTAAGTTAAATAAATAATAATAAGCCCTGTTCAGTACTTACTATATAGAGGAATCGTTTCTACCTGTACTCATTTAAGCCTCACCACAACCCCTTGAAGAAATCAAGGAACAGAGACGTTCATTAATTTGCCCAATGCCACACAGCTTGTAAGTATTACAGTGGTTTGAATGTTCACACATGTGCGTAAAGTCTTCCTCCTTTCCTTTAATCAAATTGACTGGCTCTCTCTACCTAAGAATTCTTATACAGAGTTGTACACACACAGCTGAGCCTATTGTGTTTTATGAGGATTTTAAAGAGATTTTCAAGGGTTTTCTATTGAGATTTCAACTTTTTAAAAAAGAATTACTTATTATTTATTTATGGCTGCGTTGGGTCTTCATGGCTGCGTTGGGTCTTCATTGCTGCGCGCGGGCTTTCTCTAGTTGCGGCGAGCGGAGGCTACTACTCTTCGTTGCGGTGCGCGGGCTTCTCATTGCGGTGGCTTCCCTTGTTGCGGAGCCGGGCTCTAGGCGCACGGGCTCAGTAGTCGTGGCTCACAGGCTCTAGATCGCAGGCTCAGTAGTTGTGGCTGGCGGCTGTAGAGCGCAGGCTCGGTAATTGTGGCTGGCGGCTCTAGAGCGCATGCTCAGTAGCTGTGGCACACGGACTTAAGTTGCTCCGCGGCATGTGGGATCTTCCCGGACCAGTGATCGAACCCGTGTCCCCTGCATTGGCAGGCAGATTCTTATCCACTGCGCCACCAGGGAAATCCCAGAGATTTTAACTTTAAACATTCCACTTGTACCATAACACCCTCCTTTAAGATCTGACCCTACTATATGTCAGAGAGATCAGGGAGAGAGGACCTCCTGGAACTGGGAAAGGAGGAGGAAGAGGGGGCAGCTCAGCCTCTCCCTCCCATCCTGCGATGTGGCCTCAGGTACCTCTTGGCAACTGTGGGGGCTGTAAGGAGCACAGTTTGACAACCACAGCCTGGGGCAATTTCTGAGTGTTCCGCCACCTCTGACATCTCATGACTTGATGCCACTAATGGCAGCTGGCATGTTTTGGGCACTTGCCCGGTGCCCAAGCACTTTTCTAAGTGCTTTACAGATTAGCTCCTTTTATCCCAACAATAACCCTCTGGGACAGGGACTGGTACATCTCAGTTTACAGAAAAGGAAGTGAGGCACGGAGAGGTTAAGTTACTTGCCCAGGATGACACAGCTAGAATGGATTAAGGTGGGGGGACCAACTTAATCTGATTCCAGAGCCCTTGTCCTCACGCCCTGGGCATGCTGCCTCTGACCTTGCCTGTTGTTGGTCCTCGAGTCCCTGGGAAAACCATGTGGCTGTGTGTTTCCAAGGAAACAGAGCTTCTGATTCGAAGGGAATGGGAAAGGGCAGGTGAAGCCCGTTCGAGTCCCCTTGAGAGCAGCTGGGGGGTCTCCTCTCTCTGGAAGCTGCCAGGCCTCCCTCCGGCTACGGAAGCTGAGCCAGGGCCCTGAGTGGCTGCTGGGACGCTGGCTGGAAGCCTGGCACCCAGAGGCCCGGCTACAGGGAAGCCCTTGGCTCCTCATTCATCCAATTCATTAATATTCCCTCTCTCCAGCCGCTCTCCATTTAATTGCACACACGCTGTCGGTCTCTTTGCCAGAGCTGTGGCCTCTGGGAAAAACTAGTGGACCCATTTTTCCCTGCAGTGTTCCCTGGGCCAGAGGAGGGGCTGGGGCTCGACTCTGCCATATACTATAATTTCTAAGCTATCAAACAGTGCAGATATGAAAGAAGCACCTTAATTTTATAAGGTCTCTTCTAGGGAAAACTAGCATGTATTATTCATTCCTTGAAGGTAACTTTTAAGTCATATCGTAGCGACAGATGTATTATTTTATTTATGTAAAAACAGAATACTGCATTCTAGAATCCACTATGAAAGCTTAATTTCTGGAATAAGCAGCAAATTTTCTATTAAATACAAAAGAGCATAAATTGTCTCTGATAAACCGGAGTTTGTTGGTACCAAAAGATACTGCGTAGACATACAAGTGTATGTCTACCATAAAAGGGCTATGGTAGACATACACTTGATTCTAAATGTTAGGGGTCTAATCCAACTCTGCCCTTGATCAGCTCCTAAGCCTACAGCTTTGTTATCTTTGTTAAGAAAACGACCTACAGGCAGCGCCCTTGCAGCTTTAATGAGATATTGCTGCATGGCACCACCAGGGGGCAGCATCGAGCACAATTTTACATCAGTTTTTCCTCTTTGGGGTTTTAATGAAGGTGCATTGGATTCCGGGTTGTTAAGGATACATTTGAAGTGGTGAGGACAGAGGTGGGGGAAGGTATCATTATTAAATACTCGTAAGTACAGTAATTCCTGGAGAACTCAGCAGAGAGAGAGCTTGGAGGTAATTCTGCAGCGTTGGTGGCAGGTGTAGTCTGGAGCCAGGGAGGAGACAATCTACCTTGTCTTTTCTCTGTCCTGGAGGGCAGTGGTCCACTCTGGGCACTGCCCTTCATTAAGAGGTGCAGTGACAGTCTGGTGTATACAGTGGAGGGTGCCCAGTGACAAGGAACTTTGCAGGAGAATGTTAGTTTACTGACGTACGTGGCCCTGAGTGCAAAATACATCTTAGTCACTATTTTGGGGACCTAGAGCAAATCACAAAAACTTTGCCAAGTTAGGGTTCCTTCTCTGTAACATGGGGAGGAATGCTTACCTTGCTGGATGGTTGGGAAGAGTCAGGGAGGTAATGCAGGCAGGTGCCTGGTACCCTGTAAAGCCTCAATGATGGTGATTCTTATGATAAGGAATAATATGTTAATAATGTTAGTGTTTGTGGTACCACCATTGTAATACTCATTATAAATATTTTTATTATTGATAATCCTATTCATTGTGTTGTATTTGATATATATCTGACACGTTTCCTATTATATATGATATATATAATATCTTGTATATATTATATATTTGGTATGTATTAATACATAATAATTATAAAATTAATATTGAATATTTTGTATAAATGTGTTAATATTTTTGTAATTAGCAACCATCACTGGAGGAACGAGAAGATTTAGCATGCAGGGTCCAGTTCCCCTCTCCCACTCAAGTTTAGGGGGTCCCACAACCAAATGGATTATTTGGAGAACCAGATGGATTATTTGAGGATCCAGGGGTTTGGGCCCTGGGCCTGTAGAGTATGGAGTACAGAGCAGCTCAGGAAGCAGAGAAGCTGACTGAAGTCCAGGCTGGAATATGTGACCTTGAGCAGGTGACTTACCCTCTCTGAACCTCAGTCAACCCGTATGTGAAAGGGTGTAGTTGCCATTGCTGTGGCCAACCCTAACCCTCCCCCCTTGGCCCAGGCTTGGGGGGGTGGGGGCAGCTGTTGGAGGGCGGGGGGGTGAAGAGGTGTCCTTGCTTCCTCCCCTCTGCAGGAGTCGGGGCTATCCGCGTGGATTGGTGGGCAGCTGCACCCCCTGGAGAAGGTGCCACCGGCGCTGGCCGTGCTGCTCATCACTGTGGTTGTCGCCTTCTTCACGGAGTTTGCCAGCAACACGGCCACTATCATCATCTTTCTGCCTGTCCTGGCGGAGCTGGTGAGGGTCCATATAGGGTCCTGGGGCGGGAGGGAAACACCTCCCCCCAACACACGTTCAGAAATCTCTTTCTCGCTCCTGGGAACTCCACCAGGAGCCACAGCTGGTCATTGCTCTCGTCCAAAATGTGTGATAGTGTCAGAACCATGATGTTTTTTTTAAAAAAAGAATACTGTTTTTTTCTTTAAGAAATGCATAAACAGAGTAAATATTTTCCAAATGCACCAAATTCCCTCCTTTGGGAAAAGTAACCCATGGTGACATGGAGAGTTTTCTAGGAAAATAGGAATTGCCAAATATGGATTAAGAAGAAGTAGAAAATCTGAATGGACAGATAACCTTAGGAGAAATTCTAATGGTAGGCAAAGCTCTAGCTTCCCTCTAAAGCAGGGTTTCTCAGCACTATTGACATTTTGGGCCAGAGAATTCTGTTATGTGAAGCTGTCCTGTGAATTGTAGGACGTTTAGCAGCATCCCTGTTCTCTACCTACTGGATACCAAAGGCATCCCCCCTAAATTGTGACAATCCAAAATGTCTCTAGACATTGCCAAATGTCTCCTGGGGAGACAAAATTATCCCTGGTTGAGAATCACTGCTCTACAAATCACTAGCCCCAGAGGGATGTCTGAGGTGAGAGCTAGCAAACCTTCAAGGAACAGACAGTCCCCACTTACCCCAAGTGTTCCCCAGCACAGAAAGATCGAGAAAGCTGTGCAATCAATGTACAAGGTTAGCAAAACCCTGACACCAAAAACAGAAGGAGAGCAAAGGAAAAGAAAGTTATAACTCAATGTCGCATGTAAACAAGGATGCGAATAACAAAATGGATCCAAGGTCACGTGAATTCTACTAGAAATTTCCAAACTGATTAATAGACACTCTCAGTATAGTTTTATATTTAAATAGACTAAAGAAGACCAGACCATTATGATTATCTCAACATAGACCAAAGTGATCAGATTAAATCAACGTTGCAAGTATATGCTTTGTATGCAAACAGTGATATGCCAGGCACACTGTCTGGATCACTTTTTGCTTTTTCTTTGTTTATTTATGCATCAATTTATAATGGATATCACACTGTATTAGCACACACAGGCACACTTTATTCTTCCTCAGTGACTAGAGAATATTCCATTACGAATCCATAGCTGCTGATTTTGTTTAAGCAATCTTCTACTGATGAACACAGAGGTTGTTTCCAGCCTCTGCTATTTCCCAGCAATGCTGCCTTGGCCTCTCCTTGTCTGAGCACCTTTTTATATGTAGATACACCTAGATCTCCGGAACTGAGATCCCTGGGTGAAAGAGCACGTGCGTTTACAATTTTGTAAGAGATGGGCAAATTGCCCTCCCAAGTGTGGGCGTGCCATTTCCACTCCCACCAGCAGTGTGGGGTAGGGGTCCCCGTAGCCCTGCTAAGTGTGATTGGATTTAATCACACCCTTCCCCAGGATCTGATGGATCGGGCAGTTGAGAGAGATGGGGGTGCTCTGGGGGAGAGGAGGGAGAGCAGACCCAGTCAGGTCTGCAGGGGCAGCTTTCGCTGAAGAAGATACTAGCAAATGATTTATTCTTCTAGACGTTGCTTATCATCAAAATCAAAACATTTTACATGCAAGGGGGTGATCTTAGTGCTTTTTGAGAGAATGTATATGCTTTGGTTTACAAAAATTCCCTAGAGGGGCCAAAAATCCTTACCTTAAAATAAAATGCTGGCGAAGTGATCAACATGAGTTACAGGTGGACATGTCATTCGGGGGAGGTGATGAACCAGTGGTCTGCTAACTGAGGCCAACCCACAGACACCTTTGATCCACACGGTCTTAGAAATTTGGAAATGAGTGCCGACGGGTGCTACCTTGAGCTCTCTTTATCTCTGAAATCCAGTGAGGCCCCAACAAAAGGTACCCAGAGGCCAGCTGTTTGGATCGTTAGGCTGAGAGAAGGACCAGGCAGGGGACTTGAGGCTTTTTGGAGCCGTGATTCTCAAGATGTGGTCTCTGGACCAGAAGCATCAGCATCACCTGGGGGCTTGTTAGAAATGCAAATTCCTGCCCCCCCCGCCCCCCCCCCCCCGCCCTAGACCTGCTGACTCAGCAACTCTGCAAGAGGTGGCGAGAGCGCTCTGGGGTTTAACAAGCCCTCCAGGTGATTCTGATACGCACTCAAGTTGGAAGAGGGAGTGTTCTAGAATAATCTCCCCAGCCCATCCTCCCTGATGAACCTGCATGTGCTTGGAATGTCGCTAACCTAGGAATGTTCTCTCCATATCTCCCTCGGTCTGGTTCTCTTCTTGTCTGTCTGTCTCTATTTCTGCCTGTGTGTCCGTTCTGGCCGCATTTCTCTCTGTGTGTCTTTAAATCCATCTTCCCGTTTGTTTCTCTCGTTCTCTCTCACTCGCCTATCTCTCTCCATGCATCTCTGTCTCTCCACCTGTCTCCATCTCCCGTGTGGTTTCTCTGTGTTTCTCGGTCTCGGTCTGTCCCGCCCCTGCTGGCCCAGGCCATCCGTCTGAGGGTGCACCCCCTGTACCTGATGATCCCCGGCACAGTCGGCTGCTCCTATGCCTTCATGCTTCCGGTCTCGACACCCCCCAACTCAATCGCCTTCGCCTCTGGACACTTGCTGGTCAAAGACATGGTGAGTCTGGGCACTTTCTAGCAGAGGTCCGGGGAGGTGGGTGGACGCCAGGGGTGGGCAAGGCAGGACTTGTGCTTCCCCCAGCATCCCGCAATTTCTGAATAGGTCCTTCCGAGCGGGACCAGAAATATACCTTTTAGCAAACACTCTGAGATGCTTAGGCAACTTCAGGAAGCACTGCCTCGGTGACTACTTTCCAAAGTTTGCTTCAGAGACGAGGGGCTTCCCCTCTCTCTGGGCACCGCCCTGTCTTCTGACTTGTTTGGCCAAGCACTCTGTACCTGGCGGCGGCGTCTCTAGGAGAGGAGCAGCGGGCCACACCTGGGACTTAGGGCCGGGCCTCGGTGCCCAGCCTGCTGGAGAGGAGACAGAGGCCGAGGGTCGTGGCAGTGGTGGGGAACCTCCAGCTTTCGGCAGGGCCCCCCTCAGGCTCCCCTGCTGAACCGGCTCCTGGCCCCTCCTCTGCCTGCTTCCTGCTGCCCTTCCCCCGCCACTGGCTGCCTGGGGTGTCTGCACCGTGGGTGCTCAGGGACCTAAGCTTCGGGGTCCTAAGCTGGTGCAACTGAGATGGGGGAATCTGCTTAACCAGTCCTCAACCCACGCAGGCTCTCCAGGCACAGAGTTCCCCCAGGACAGATGGAGACAGTGAGAGGCAGAAAGAGATCACAGAGCAAAGAGACAGCAGGGACCCAGGCAGACAGACGTTCATCCACTGTGGGTTCATTCACTGCACAGATATTTGCTGAGCACATTCCATGTTCCGGGCAGGGGGTTGAGCAGTGTAGGGGAGACACAGGCCTGCCTCTAAGGAGGTTGCCTTCTATGAGGGAGACAGTAAATGAAAGGCAGAGGGTATGTTTACTGATCAAAGCAGATTATTTTTAGGTTGTGTGATCCTGGGTGAGCCCAATTCTCTGAGCCTCATTTTCCTCTTCTGTAAAATGGGAATAATGATGATGATAACAGCCCTCACAGGGTTGCTTTCAGGGTAAATTGCATAGCTCTGTGACAACTGCATGGCACAGTGCCTGGCACCTAGAAACCACTCAGTGAATGGGGACATTTTCAGCTCCTTGAGGGTCAGCCTAAGGCATGTAAAGACGGAAGGGTCTTGGGTATCGACCAACCTGGGTTTGTGTCTGGCCCCATCGCTTCCCAGCTGTGCAGTCCTGGGTGAAGGGCTTTCTGACTCTGAGCCTGGGCTTTTCCATCTGTATAATGGGCCTCGAGCAGACCCCCCTCTCACTCTGGGCTCCATTGCAGGCGCGGACGGGACTCCTGATGAACGTGATGGGCGTCCTGCTGCTCAGCTTGGCCATGAATACTTGGGCACAGACCATCTTCCAGCTGGGCACCTTCCCGGACTGGGCCAACATCCACCTAACCAATGTCACAGCACTGCCAGCCACCTTGGCCAATGACACATTTCAGACCCTCTGAGTCCCCCTCAGATACTCTCTTCGGGCTGGGCCCTCCCAGAAGGTCTCGCCATCACCTGCTGTCAGGACCCTACAGGATGATCAAGCAATTCTTCTCTGTGATCCAGCGCGCAGCAAGCGAGGGTGACTTCCAGTGGTCCACTTGGGTCCATAGTCTCGTTATCTAGGATACCTTCTCCTCTGTCATGCAGTTCAGGGTGCAGCTACCTCCCAGATCTGCTGCCTGAGCAACAAGCTCCTTTATCTCTGAGCTGTTCTGTGGTTAGGATGCAAGAAAGCCCAATTTCAGCAACAATAAGCAAATCTGGAATGGCGTTTGTCTTGAATAGGTAGCGTGGGAAGCACAGCTAGCATCCCTCACTGACTACACGAGTTACCATCTGGAGAGACCATCTTGCCTTTAGAGATCACCTTCCTTCAAGAGACTCTGGGGCTGCTGTGTCCCAGTCCAGCTGTTCCAGCTGTTCACAGCTGGTGTGCGCTCTGCTTGGTGGGGGCCAGTTCTCCACCAGTTATTCAAATATCACCCCTGCTGATACCCAGCAGCCAGGGGTATTTTCAATCCCTGGAGACAGGGGGAGGGACAGATGACATCCTGAGGACATGGAGATCGTGCAAAGCCTCCTTGTTGCTTCTCCGGGCTCCCGAGCACACAAGAGGAGTTCTAGACCTTTCTACCCAAGCTTATTAGGATTTTCCTGTTCAGTCTGATTCAGTGTGGCCACAGTTCCAGGGTCAGGCCAAGTCTGGGCCATTCCCTCTCACAGGTGACCCATGGCCCCTCCAGCCAGGCCCCTTCCGCACGTGGCCCACAGGGGCCTTCATGGCTGCAGCCTTCTTCTTCTTCCAGGAGCTGGTCTTTACCTCCCTGCCCCGACCCGAAGCGGTAAGCACGTTTGATTAGCAAAGGCCACATTTTTCAGGGGTGAGAGAAAAGTCAAAAGATAAATTGGGGCCTTGTAAGAGGTCAAATGTTTCAGGCAGGGAAACACCATAATCCTCTTCTACAGACGAGGACAACTTAAGACTTCCCCTGAGCCAGTGGCTGGTGGGGCCTGTCCTAGAGGATCTGATCCCTCCTTGCTTCAAGTAGGAACATCTCGAAAAGGCACCGGCTGAGGGGCCCAGAAAGCTCACATCCCCGACTTCCTACGCCTCTGAGGGATGAGGTTCCCCAAGCAGCTCGGGCTGGGAAGCAGCACCCAGGGACTGAACTTGTTCTTGAAACAGCACAAGTGAGTCATGGATGTTCCCCTGGGAGCAGTGGGGAGGAGGGAGAATGGGCTCCCTGTCCTTCCCGTGGGATTACTTCAACATTTAGTCACAGTTACAGCCCTTTGGGGTGGGGCGTGCACTTCTATTGGATGGGGCAGTGGAGAAATTCATTCACAGAGAAACCCAAGGGCTTGTAACCGGATGAATCGTGATTTCAAATACTTCTGATTGAAAATTCTATAAAATAAAGAATGTTAATCAACCCTGGGCCTGGAGATTATTTGCCTTTGTGGCCATAAAACAGCTTCAAAGCCTTAAGTTCTGGAACTGGGGATTTCACAGAATTGACCTCCCTGACCTCACTTCCTTACTGCTCTCCCCTCTCCACTCTACTCCAGCCACATACTCAAACTCTCCTGCCTCTGGGCCTTTGCACATGCTGTTTCCGTTACCTAGAACACTTTGCTCCCAAATATATGCTTGTTTCTCACTTTATTCAGGTCTCTGCTCAAATGTCACCTCCCCAGAGAAGCTTCCCTGACCATCAGGTCTAAAATATCACCCTCATTACTTTTTATCCCCTTATCCTGCTTTATTTTTCTCCTTAATATTTAGTCAGGACACTGTATTATTTACTTTCTTGTTTATCAACTTTCTCTCCCTCTAGAAAATAAACCTATGAGAATACAAACTTTATTTTGTTCAGTGTTGTAACTCCAGTTCCCAGAACAGTTTCTGGCACATAGTAGATGCTTAGTAAACATTTGATAAGTAAATCTATACCAGAATTTATGAGAAAGCAAACTCACTCTTCAATCTGGGGTCTGTTTGGCTCATTTCTTTATTCACTCATTCTTCCATTTATTCATTCAACAGTATTTATTTAGAATCTGTTACGTGCTAGTCCACTGTCCCCAGCCACATGGAGATTAGCCCTGGAGACAGGCAGTAGGCAGGTAAACAAATAGGTAAAGTGACTCTGGGTCATAATGTGGGCTAAGAAGAAAATGAAACTGGCCAATGTGAGAAACCTATGGCTATGTTAGCTATAAAGGCTATGTTAGCCAGGGTGGTCAGGGAGGACTTCTCTGAGGAGGCGGCCCTGGGCTGAGACCAGTAGGAGTCAGCCATGTGCTCAAGGTGGTGTGGGAGGAAAGGAGATGGCAGGGGTGGTACAGTCATTAGAAATTTATCAAGGACTCATCTGGAATACACAAGGAATACCCAGAAGCCAGAAGAGACAAAAACAAAACACTTACCTGAGGCTGCATAACAAATCACCCCAAAGTTCAGGGCCTTAAAACAGAACACATTTCTGCACTTGGCCAGAGTTCTGCAGGCCTGGTTTTGTCTCTGCTGTACATGGTGTGGCTGGGGCCACTCAGCTGGGGGTTTAGCTGGCGCTGGAAAGTCCATGATGGCTGTGGACCCTCCAGGGTCACGTGGCTTCTCCAGGAGTCCAGCCTGGACCTCTGTACATGGCAGTGGGCTTCTCAGAAGGCAAAAGCAGAAGCTACAAGTCCCCTTAAGGCGTGGGCTTGGGAGTCCAAGAACGAACGTCAATTCTGCCACATTGTATTGGTCACATCAGGTCACAGGGTTAGCCTGGTTCAAGGGGAGGGAAATAACTCCGCTCCTTAATGGGTGGAGTGCCATCCACATCAGGGCAGAAGATGGCTAGCCACCAACTTTGGAAGCCTTCCACCATAACACCCAAGAGAAAATTGGGTGAAAGTTACGAATATGCCGTTCTGAAAAAGGATATGTGAGTGGCCAGCAGGTTTACAAAGAGATGCTCAGACCGCTTGTAATCAGGTAGGGGCAAGTTAAACCAAGGTTCAACAACACGCCAATCAGACTGACAAAAACTAGAAAAGTGGACAGTGAGTGATGGTGAAATGCGAGGACACAGAAACCCTTGTTTTCTGTTGGCGAGACAACTATTACCGTCAGCCTGGCAAGCAACTTGGTAGTAATCGGGGATTCATTGTCTGCGTTCCCTATGGCCCATCCTGTTCTTGGGCTTATATCCCAGCAAAATTATCCCATGGGTCCCTAAGGAGACAATGTAGGAGGATATTCATGCCACAGTTGTCTGAGGTACCAAGGAGCTGGAGGCCACCAAGGTGACCATCACTGGGGAAGAGGGGCATTTAAATAAAACATGGAGGAAGCACACAGTGGAAACATGGCCACAAGCAGACGCGATGAAATGTGGAGTGATAGCATGGACACGGACAGACTCCAGCACAAACGTCAAAGAGAAGTGCAGGATCATGTGGGCAGAGGAATGGAAGCTGTGAGGGTAAATGGGGGAAAAAGGTGAGTAAAACTCGTTGAGCGAGGAGTTCACCGCATTGGACAGCTGGCTCCACCCATAACATCTGTATGACCTTAAGCAGGCCCTTTACTGTTTGGACTTTGGTTTCCCCATCTGAGAGATGAGGGTCTAGTTACAAGGTGTGGGCAGGTGGTCACTTATGGAAACCACAAGAGAAAGCATAGACCCTGGTGGTGAGAGGAAGGGCTAGTCATGGAGAAGCACCTCTCAGCCCGGGGTCTGCGGGACAGCTGCTGACCTGGAGCTGGCAACTTTAGTCCAGGGACACATCCAGCCCTTGATGACTTCACAGGGAAGTAGCTGCCCTGGGTCTTACTCCCCTCTCTCTCTCTCAGCTCTCCTGCTGGGGCTCCCCAATGGGCAAACACAGCTGTATTGATGAGGGTTCTCCAGAGAAACAGAACCAACAAGATGTGTACGTATGGAAAGAGTTGCAGTTCGAGCCCAAAGGCAGCCTGCTAGCAGAATTCCTTCTTGCTCAGGCGAAGTTGGCCTTTTGTTCTTTTCAGGCCTTCAACTGATTAAACGAGGCCCACCATGTTATGGAGAGCAATCTGCTTTATTAAAACTCCATTGATTTAAATGTAAATCTCATGTGGAAACACCCTCACAGAAAGATCCAGAATAATGTTTGATCAAATATCTGGATACCGTGGCCCAACCAAGTTGACACATAAAATTAACCATCATACCAACAGAAGCCAGAATGTAAGGGAGTCCTTTGATGCAGCCAATCCAGGTCCTCCTTTATAATTTTTTTGTATTAATTACATGTTAAAAGGATAATATTTTGGATGCATTAGGTTGAATAAAATATTTTATTAAAATTATTTTCACTTTTTTAATGTGACCACTAGAAATTTAAAAATTTTCTATGTGACTCACATCATTTCTCTAAGAGAGCGCTGCCTATCCAATAAGACTCTAGCCACCTCTCCACATTCTGAAGCCAACTGGACGGTGGCAACATTCTACCCCCACAAGCTGTAAACTTCAATGACTCTAATATTCTATGGACCTCTGATTGTGATTCTAGAAGTGAAGACTTACCACTTCCTCTTCATGTTCTGTCTTATGGCTCTGAATCCTCCACCCAGAATTCCCCTCAGCAAAGCTCATTCTATTTTTGATGATTCAGACACTCCTTCCGGATGTTGTGGGCTTAGGCTCAGGCCAGCCTTATATAGGCAGAAGTGACTGCCTGTATGTGCTTAGAAAAGCCAAAAATATCTTCTGCCCTTTCCCTCCCTATGCTCACATCCTCCCAGATCTTATGCATCCACTAGAGGCCCTGGGGAAATGACCAACATGTTCCTTAACCAATCAGCTCCCTCGTGCCAGTGCAGCAACTAAGCAAATGCCAGTGTTTTCCAGGACTTTTCCCTCCGACCAGCACAATGCCCTGAAGTTTCCTGTTTGATGGGACCCAGGCCATGGGATCTGGTCCAGTGGGCATCATAGAGGCCTGTACGATCTGGTCTGAGAAGCCTGGGGCTCACTCAGGCCAAACTAGCAGTCCAGGTTGGAAAGAGCTGGCCTGGAGCATTTATATATTGTTTACTAGGCACTGAACATACATTATCGCGTTGAATTCTCAACCCTAAGAAGCACGTACTAGTATTCTCCTCATTATAGCAGAGTACATCCAAGTTCAGAGAGGGACAGTGTCTTTCCCAAGGTCACACAGCACAGTAAGTGGCATAGCTGGCCTTTGAGTGAAGTCTGCCACCTCCACCCCAGGGACCCTGCAGATCAGAGGAACAGCTAGACTGCTCCCTGCATCAGTCCTACTGAGGCCTCTGTCAGAACTTGTAAACTGGTGGCCTTCATGCTGGCTCTGGCCCACAGCCCTACCAAGACTGGCCTGCACAAGGGTCTTTCACTTTTTAAAAATACTGGCTTTTGAAACTTGGAGGCTTCTACATAAAATTGGGAATGACTGGCATCTTTGGAAAAACTGGCCACCCTGGTAATGTTGGGCCTCATTTCTGAGGGGCTTCAACCCTTGGCTGGAGCGGAGTAGAAGCTACCCTTTTCGAAGGGCCTCCGCATGGCAGTTCACTGCTGTTTCCACCTGGCCCTCTGCTCCTTACCTTAGGTGGCCCCTGCAGGGGCCTGCACTTCCTGCTCTTGGTCTACTCTGCGTGCCCAGTTCTTTGCAGACTTGACAGTGGGCTGGCTTCCTAGAGGGGCTTGTGATCCAGGAAGGGTGTTAAGCCCTCTGAGGACTACAGGTGTCTCATCCAATTGTGTGACTATGAGAATGCCACTTCCCTTATCTGGGCCATGCAACACACTCCTTCAGGCCTGAGCAAGTGACCCAGGCAATGTCCTTAGAAAGGAAATGACAGGGAGTCTGGAATACTGCCTAACTGTGCCCCCCGCCCCAGTCCATCCTGTAGGATGGGGGACTGGGGGCTCAGGAGAGGCCTCCTGGCGGAGGTGGTCCTGCTGGCAGTGATGGGGCACAAAGACACTGGAGTGTAGCGGGGAGCAGGGCCTGCTTTCCAGGAAGGGACTGGCTTTCAGAACAGCCCAGAAGTGTACCTGCAGGGCAGTGACTACGGCAGAGCCCACAGACAGAGAGTTCACACTCACTGAGTGCCTGCTCTTGGCAGTGCCAGATGCATCCCAAGGTCAACATGAATCTTGTGAATTCTTCCCTCCCCACCAGTAGGGCCCAGTGGCTGACCAGTAAACTCTGGAGCAAGGATGCTGACTATAAATCGTGGCTCTACCTGTTACTAACTGAGCAGCTGGGTTAAGGGACTTAAGTCTCTGGATCTCAGTTTTCTGAACTAAAGAATGGAAATACCAGTCCCTGCCACAAAGGGCTGTTGGGAAAAAAAGATTCAGTGAATGCCAAGAGAAGCTATGTAGCAGCGTGCCTGATACTTAACAAGTGCTCGATAAATGTTAAC